CAGATGAAGAGAAAAAGTAGAATTTCATGTTTTAAGCATGTTTTTTCGCAAAGACAAGTGCGAAAATTTTTAAAAATTTGCTTTTTTAACTACATTGATCTCTAACTTAGTTGTGTATGCACTTGCTTTTACGATAATAGTTCAAAACATAGTTGATAGACATATAAATAAAATCCTCAAAGGATTTTTTTTCTTTCGGAAGATAAATTTTTTTTACAGTGTTTAGCGTATATGCAAAAAAATGCCTTATTTTCACCTAAAAATGGTCTTATAAAAAGAAAATAATAACATTGATAATTGTTTTGCTAGTTTTTGCACACAATAAAACAAACAAAATAGTGTTTTAAAATTTTACGTTAATATTTAAAAGAAAAAATTATCGAAACTAGTCGGATACGTTAATGAAAATTTTTCGTTAAAGAAAAACTAAAAGTTATCACGGGAACCATATTTTCCCCTTTAATACAACATAATATGTAGTAAGAATTTTTCTAACTTAGAAGAATTTTGCTTCAGATTATTTTTATTATTATTTATTTGTTAGAAAAGAGAAACGTTGCATTAATGTTGTATTACCGTATTTACATATTTGTAACAAAATAAAAATTGTATTTTATTTAATAAAGGTTTTAAAGGGTTTACAATTTTTCTTGGATTTACTTTTTCTCTTTTTTAGGAGCGTTTTTGCCTTATATATATAGATATATGTTTTCGTGAATGACCGAAATTAAGAGAATGTCAACTTTCAACGGTAAATGTCAACAATCACATAGTCGTTTTGGGGAATATCCGAAATATTTGTTATATCCGATTTGATACTAATTTATTCGATGATATTATATTTATTCGATATTCTAATATCTGAGGAAGATAGATTAGGAGAAACATCAGTGTTCGGAGCACCGGTTAAATGCATACTTTGCAGTGGCACTTGACCTTAAAAAAACATTGATGTAGGGCATGCCGGGCAAATGTATACCGAACAGTTGCAATGAACCTTAAAAAAATTTATGTATGACATACCGGGCAAATGTATACCGGGCAGTGGCACTTAACTAGACCTAGTATATATTTCAGAGATTTACAGAGTACATTCAGAGATTCATATATATATATATATATATATATATATATTTGGCTGTCCTTATAAGACAACCAAAGTTTTGAAAAAGCAGATTTCTCTTCTTTTTTTTTTATTTAAAAAAGATAACTTTCGTAAACATTTAGTGTAGCCTATTTTAGGAAAAACTTAAGTGTCCAATTACTTGCAAATAAAATCTGAAAACATTTTCTTATTAGTTACAATTTGCTTTACACAAAGCCACCACCTGCGCGCGCGACCGTAAATTTTATAAATTTTTAAAAATCTAATATCTGAAAATTGATAACTCAAGGAACCTATATTGAGTTATTCATAATTTTATGCTTTTAAGAAAGCCATGTTTAAAAACTCAGTGCATTTTTACAAGACACGGTGTAAATTATATACAGAAGTTTCAGATATTTTTGAAGGTTTCAAACATTTGAAATTTGTGACATTACTCTAATTCTGCTTTTCGAATTGGTAAAAAATAGGATTACGCGTTTTAAATTTATTATTTTACACAGAAGAAAAGAATTAGCACACCCTATTACATAAAACGTTTGAGAAAATTTTCAGATACAATAGTTTAGTAATTTAAAAAGATTTGAATTATTATTTAGGCTTCGTTAAGCTATTATATAATTAGGTTTTGAAAGTTTTGAAGAACTAATTAATTAAAATTCGTAAAGGTTAAACTATGAACATTCCGTTACTTAAAATAAGTTAAATAATTTATAAAAATAGGTAAACTCAATAACAAATATAAAACTAATAACTATCAATTGAAACAAAAATAATGATTATAAATTTACATCATCGAATTCTTGTGAAAATTACTTTTACTGTTTCAATAACTATAATATTATTATGATAATTTCTACTATATATTAACTACTACTTATTGTGAGAATATATGAACACCACGAAGAATTTTCAGGAAATTCTTTTGACAGGAACAATATTTAAAGGAGAGGAAATTAAAATAAAAATCACTATCAAAAGGAAATTATAAAAATAATTGTATAATCAAAAGGATATTAAAGAATAATCACATCTGAGAAGAATAAACTTATGACAGGAATGAAATTTATACCAAGTGGATTACTTAATACCTGTGGAAATTCTAAAATTTGCAAAATTTTTAAAATATTAACTTTGTAATTAGCATGATAAAGATATTAAATTTCAAAATAATACTCACCAACAACATAGTTAGTTGACGATAAAATAAATTTTTTGCTCGGTAAACTAGATTCCTATTTTCTATAAAAACTACCCAAAAAGTAGCTTTCAAATTATATGAAATAACAATTGTTTTTAAGGAAGCACATTTGTATTGATGCCATACTTAAGCAAAAGATAAGAATTAGTAATAATTCGAAAACGATTCCAAAAATACAACATTTAAAGAATCGTTTGCTCCAAATACTGTTTTCTCTCTTTATATTATTAAAATAAGATATATTATTACACAATTTGAGAATTAAATTTAAGAGTAGTTTAGTAAATTTTTAAATGTAAAGCTAATTTAATTATTAAAAGAATAAATTTGGAATTTTTTTTTTTTCAAAAATAACTAATATCAGAAAATTTAATCTTTTTTACAATAATAATAGACATACATTAAAAAGAATTATATTAAAAATTACATTAAGAAGAATTTTTCATTTATTCAAGTAATTTTACTGGCTCAAAAATTTGTGTTTTATTCTGAAAATTCATTATTTTATAAACAAACGATTTTCTGAAAAAATTACAAAATATTCATTATTGGTATTTTAAGATTGCGGACAAAAAAAAAAAAAAAATGAAGATAATTCAGTTTTACTTATTATTGTTATCAATGAGATAAACATTACTGTTATCTTCTATCTACTAGTATACGTTTCCAAGAAATTTAACACTGACTGGGGACAAATCTTTCCATCGTCTTTCAACAAGTTTTATGTGATTGTACTAAAAAAAAAATTATACTTATAAAAGATAAATATTATACTGAAAATTGGATATGTTTTAAACTACATTGTTAAAACTAACTTCGTGCTGTTAATATATTTGTAAATGCTCGATCTTGAACGTCAAAAAACACTAAATTTACAGTTTCAGTTATTGGTTCAAATAAAAATGCTTCAATAAATATTTCTAGTTCTTACTTAAACTTAGCTTATTTATTTCACAAAGAATTTTTTTATCTTAGCTATTCCAATTTCATAACTGTTTCAGTGTGTATGAATAAAAATAGTCCATTAATCTTAGACAATATAAACACCAAAAAAACGTAATGAGATTGATTTTTACAGGATCTAATATTTCTTAATAGGATAATTTAATTTGAAAGTGGAATTAATCTTAGTGTAATAATTATTTAACGTTAGCTAATTTTTTTGAAAGAGAGGGAAGGAAGATTGCTATGTCTCCAGCAGACATCAAACTAAAGGGGACATTCGATGACAAAAAAAATTTAATTCGATTATTATTTTATTAGGAAATTAAATTTTTTAATTGTTAAGTTTCTGACTTAAGCAAAAAATTTATGAATTTTAAGGCATGATTTTTAAGCAAATTGAATAATGAAGTTTGAGGTCATTGAAGTTTAAATATTTTTGTCATAACTAGTGTAAAATTATTTTGTGGGAAATCATAATTTTTTTTAAATAGAATAACTTTTGCATAAATTTACATAAATATAAAATGTGAATATATTATGTTTCATTGTTTTTTTTCCACCACCTATTCCGTTAACACATGACTTTATTAAACTCTCCATTTTGGGGCTTTTGAATAGACAAGTTAACTTCGAGCATGCATAGATTTCAGCACTCCACTTTATGAGCATATTATTACTTCTTTAACTTTACTATTATTGCTTTTATTTTTAGCGATTTGAGATTGTTGAGATAGATTGCTTAAAAACTACTAACTGCAGTTTAACTTTACTATTTCTAGCTTTACTATTACTTAATTATTTCTAATAGCAGTTTAACTTAACTATTTTTTTCTTCTTATTGTTTAGTTAACAGTCTTTAACTTTATTATTACTTTACTTTTTATTTTCACCGGCAGATAATAAAGAGATGGATTGCTTAAAAACCACCAACTGCAGTTCATTGCAAATGTAAATCTCTAATAATTTTTCGAGACAGATTTTGCAAATAGTATAAAATTTTCAAAGCAGTTTTTCAATAAGAACTTTAATTTTAAATAAATTAATATTCCATTGTAACTGTTTAAATAATTAATCTTAGAGAATACATAGATGACTAGGAGACTCAGCTTTTAGTTCGCTTGCTTCGCAATCATGTTTGTTTTTATACACAGACACAGATTGTTACATGAAAACTAAAATTCATTTGATTTAACGGTTAAATCTGAAATCCAAACTTGAAACAACTCAGTTTCACGTCCCTTTCCCAAATTAATCAGAAATTTTTTTTTGGAAGCGCCCTAAAATAACCCAGAAAATATAAACAAAAAATTTATCAATTTCCAAAAAGAACACAATTCCAATTCACTCCGCAATCCATAAATTCAAGATAAAAATATCCCGAGACGGAAAAATCCAAACCTTTTTTCTTATCTTTCATAAGTTCATCAAATCATTTTTTTCGAAAAAAACTTAAGACAGTAAGGAAAGAGAGTAAAAAGTAACAAAAAAAAGAACACCATTCATCGTTTCCCCCTTTAATTTTTTACACAAATTGAAAGACGCAAAACGTGCTGCATGCCGAAAGATGCACCCAAGAAAACATCTGCCTTCATCAGTCCCGAGGAGCGGAAATTCATCCTCATCCTCTTTCTACAGACACGATGCTGGCTTTCTTCCCCCCTCCCCTTAATCTTCACAACCTATTCATGATAGCAGCAGGCCACGCGCCGTATGTTTGCAATCATTCAGGCAGGACGCGTGGCCTGGTAGGCAGATGGCACGCGCCACATGTCACTTCTGAATAGAAAGAGGCAGGGCCTTACGCGTGGCCCTCTCTTATAAATACGGGATGAAGATCCGAGAGCAGCATAACAATTTATTCTCAGTTCGATCAAGTTCTCTCTCTCTCTCTTATTTGGATTACACATTGTGCCTATTGCTATGGGACAGCACGGTAGTTGCATACAAGGACAACCTGTAAGTAATTATTCGAATTTGTTTATATTTATTAAAGATTAAGCTTTTATATGTGACGTTTTAAAATTTAGATTAATATTTAGACTGAGTATAAGCATTGAACTGATTTAACTTATTTCAAACTAGTTTAGAGTATATTTTGTTTATTCAAATTGTTTTTTAGGAGAGATTGTTGATAATCATTTGAAAATCAAAGAGAATGAGTTATAAGCATTGATTGAATTTATTTTAACTAATTAAATTTAAATACTAAACATAGTTTGTTTTTAAAGAAAAATGCATTACATTAATATAATAAAATGAGTTATATTACATAAGAAAATCAAAACAAGATATATGTTAACAATAATTAAATTGAAACCATAACTCTAGCCTTGCTAGTATTTTCTCCCACTTTTTAGTTGCAAGTAAAAATTTATTTTCCGTTTCGCAACATAAATTTTTAATTAAAGCTGAAGCATCTAATATTTCTATAATGTGTGTTCACACATTTTATAATTTCAAATTATATGAAAATATTTTACTTTTAGAAAGAAAGTCTTTTTAGGTTTTTAATTATTATAATTATTTCTTTTATAACTCTAAGGAATCAAAATATTGTTCTTAATTAAACTATATCTTAAAATAAAAATTATACCTTCACAAATTTAAAATTTTTTTCTTCTTCTACTTTTTAGGATTGGGTTGGACCTTATCAAAAAGCCTCTACCAAAAAAGATGAAATTGAACTTTATGACCACATCAGAAAGCTCACTACTGGTACCACCAGTGCTAAAGATTTACAAGAATTTGAACATTTTCTTAAAACCAAGATCAATCCAACATGTCCGCAACACGGATCCAAAGCATCCTCCCACAGCAGTTCTAAGCAATCATCATCATCCAGAAGTTCCACTCTCTCAAACCATAGTAAACTAGAAGAACTTTTCCATAAAGAAAGTGTTTGCAAAGATATTAACTTTAACCAAAGCCAAGTAGACACAAAGCCGACCAGCATCAAACCTATGATTGTTCCAAAGAGTACCTGTGTAGTCCATGGCAAAGCAAAAGCAGAAGTTAAACCACAAAGGACACCATGCAAAGTTCACGGTCACCAAAATGTTGGACAATTAAACCTGAAAGTAGTTGATAAAGATGTAAAACCTTTTACCTCAGAAGTACCACAATTACCTCCTTCTTATAAATTCCCGCCACAAGTGAATATTTTACCTCAGGAAGATGACTTCAAGCCTAATTATCAAGAATTTTCTGATGAAGACTCAGCAGTTAGTACCTTTTCTTGCCCTGATTTCATTACTAACCTGATGCTATCATCTGATGAATTACAAAAAGTTGATATCCTAGCATCTGTTGGAGTTCAGTCAGCCAAAGGTAAATATAATTTTTTTTTTGCTAATTTTTTCCTACAAAATATTTATGATGTTAAAATGTTCTATTTTTGATAAAAACTAACTAACAGAATTTTATTAAATCTTTTTCAGAAACAATCCAGACGTTGGAAGACAGAGCTGAAAGCATAGTCGAGACCTTCGGAGTAGTTCTGAAACATCTAGAGCATGGCGATTGGTCAACTTTTTGTATCAGTACCAGCAGACTGTGTGAGGACATTAAAAAAGTGATGAAAGATTACAAGCTTCACTCTGATACCAAGGATCCAGAGTCTATTACAATCAAAAATAGTGTGACAGAGGGTCTTAATCAGCTAACAACACATATCTTGAGGTAATTATTTAATTCCGTTGATTTTTTATAAATCAAAATGAAATATACTTATACATGTTTTTGCACACATTTTTGCCTTTTTATTTAACATCATGTTTCTTTTTACAGTTTGAATCATGTATCATCGTTTGAATCAAAGCACAAAGTACTTTTGCCATCGTTTAAAGTTTTGGGAGAAGTTCTACATGAAATGATGGAATTCCTCATCACCAAAGAAATTAGAGTCCTCATCGACTGCTTGCAGACTGAAGGAAACAATTCCTCTCTTAGAATGGCAACATGTGCTCTAGCTGAAATGTGTTTATCTGGAGGTCTAATGAGCAAATTAGTAGTTAAGGTAAATAGTATTCAAATATATTATTCAGTACCCAATATTCATAACTAATTTAGCATGCAATTAAATAATTTGTGTTATAAGATTATTATATTTATTTAATAGTAAAAAAAAGAAATTTTACTTCAACCATAATTTAACAACAAAAAGTTTACCAATTGAAAGATCTTTTATATTAGTTATAATACTAAATACAAATAATTGTGTACAAAAATTTCAATTTTTAATACCATATAAAAATATTTTTTCTAGTTAATTATTTTTTTTTAGACAGTTAAAAGATTTTTTAAAAAATTGAATCTTTGAATAAACTAAAACTTTTATAACTGACCTACATTTTAATTATAAGACTTTAAGAAAACAGGTTTAACTTCTTGTTATATTTATGATTTTATTATCTTTTTCAGGCTGGAGCTATTTCCCCACTACTCAATGTGTGTAAGGTTCGCAAATGTCAATATTTACGTCCACTTGCATTACGTACTTTGACTGTCATCTGTTCTTCCCAGAGTTCTCTAGAAGAATTTGAAAAAGTAAGCATTAACTTTGATATGTATAAGCTTTACTAAAGAAAAATAATCTAAAGAAAATATTACTTTAAAATAATTAATACTGAAAAACTCACTAACTGAAAGCATTTTATCATTGCTTTTAATAGTATTTAATTCAATCAAAAGATTATTCTTTTAAAATTTACTAATCCAATGTTTCAAATAAATGCTCACTTCAATCAGAAACTAAAATTTTTTTAATGATTTTTTACTTAAAATTATTTTATTAAGATGCATATTGGTTAACAAATGTAATAATTGTAATTTCTTTTTTTTCTCAAGGAATTGGGAATGAATGTTATAAAGACTCTGTTGTCAGAAGAAAGTGAAGAAAAAGTATTGTGTGAAGCTGTTGGTCTTCTGGCTCAAGTATTAAAACAATGGACTGAAAGCAAATGCTCTTTGGAAAGCAAGATGGGGAAAGATATGGAACCAATAGTTCATAACTTAACTGGTAAGTTTACTTTCTACTGAACAATACGAGCTTTCACCCTTATTATATTCTAAATATGCTTATTTAACTATAATAATGATTTTAATTACATATTTATCAACTTAATAACTACAGATATTTATTAGATTTAAAACAAATTTTTGTCATGTTTAATTTAATAAAATGAATCTAAAATTCAATCATAAAAATATTTAATAGACTTTTATTATAAATAAAATTACTATAAAATGAAATTTGGAAATGATAAAAACATAAATGTTAAGTTTTTTTTTATTAAACTAAATATTTTTTAAAAAAGGCTAGTAACTGTTAAATAATGTAGTATTAATATTAAATAACAAAAATGGTAACCTAATGTTTACAAATTATTTTAAAACCTAACAGTAAACACTAAGTTTAAAGTGAAGAAGAAAAAAAATTTAAACAATAGAAAAATAATTGGATTTACAAGACAATCAAAAAGATTTTATAACAGCAGTGAAGAATCTTTAATTAAGAGCTATCATAAATTATTAATACAGAAGTTAGATAAATGTCACAAAATAAATCTTAGAATAACAAAAATATGCATTTTGGTTAAATACCCCTTCAATATTTTGTAAACTTTCTCATATTGAGATGTATTTTATTTAGGATTTTTGTGAGAGAGCAATTCATGTCTAAGTTTAATTTAATCAAGTATTATATATATAAATACATTTAATCAGAACATTAAAATTAGCCTCGGTTGATTCAATGCATAAACTAACACCAAACAAAAAATTAATGCCAGATAATTTAGAACATTAACCTTATAAGCTTTATGAAAAAATATGATTGTTTTTGTGATTTACTAAATTCGTAATTTTCCTTTTTAGGAACCTGCAAAAAAGCTCTTTCTCCAGAGATGTTTCTGCTTTCAGCCGCCTGCCTAGCTACGCTTTCACCCTTCAGTGCTTTTGCCAGAGAATGGTTACAACTTCATGCTCATGAAATGCGATTACTAGCGAGCAACAGCAAACAAGAGAGCTATGTTTAAAAGGGTTTGGAATCCTGACATCAGTAGTCATTCATGTCTTTCAAGTGTAATTACTAGTCAATATCAAAATCATTAGACACTCATGATTTTTGGAACCTCTTCATCTGTACATTTATGCATCAAAAAGCTATTTAGCAATTTCAAGCAGGGAATTATGGATCTATCACTGTGCAGCATCTGTATATAAACACATCAACAAAAAAAACTTTTTATCATATGCAGAGCATTGCTTTGAACTATTCCGTCCCACCTTTATATCTTCCTATTTGTTGGAAATTATCTGTGCTTCATCGATTTTATGCAGCAAATTACAAACTTTTTATTTTTCCCACTTTAATAAATGAATTTGTTAAAAAAATTGAATGTTATTGCATTTAAAAATAATGCACATGTATTCAAGCAATGTCTAAAATTTTGATACGCAAAATTTTAAAAACTTTGGATGAGTCATTACGATAGTCTTTTATAAACTGTTGAATTTTGCAAATATGATCTGCAATATAAATTGAATATGCTTGTGCTTTCAGATTTTACTAGTCTATTCTGTGTTTGTTGACAATGCATGTATTTTTACAAATTGATTTTGCAACATTTATTTTATTTTGAAATGTATTTTATAAATTATATTAGCTTTTTCTTTCTAAAAATTGAACATTCAGCTAGCCTGACCAAAGTTTAATTGCTACTGCAAATATTATATCACTGTAATGTGTGTATAGCACAACAGTTTAAAGCTGTACATAAAATTGTTATATTTTTATATATTTTATACTAATACAATAAAATATTTTTATTATTCAATTATTTTTCTAATATCTTATTTACAAGAAATACAACTTATATTCTCAAAATAAAATTTTCAAAACTAACTATTTTGGAAGCAAATAAAATTTATATTAATTTAAATTTAAAACGTTCTCATAATCTTACTAGCTTATTATATGGAACATGAATTTACTATTGTATAGTAGTACATACTTAAGTGATTTTTGACAACAATTTAAAAAGAAGAACAAAGCATAAAAAGCAAGTAAGTGAATTAAAATATTATTGGAAACTTATGAATTCAAAATAAAATTAATCAAATTAAAATGGAATGAGCATGTAGTTTATAGAACAAAATATTTTGTAAAAATAAATTAAAAAGTTTGTCATACAAGCAAGAGAAATTGTGGAAATCTAACAAAATAATTCTATATATTATAATATAATATATATATTATAATAATTATATTATAAATTCTACTATAATTCTATATATTAAAATAATCAAAATTTAAGAGATTATTAAAGAAATATTTTTTCCATATTTAAAAATGCAGATAAGTTATGGATACACTTCATTTTATTAAAGTTAATATCTATAAATTTTATATTAATATCTATAAATATTTACTAAACAATATGAAATAAACACAATGAAGAAGAGGGGGGAATCAGTTATTTAGAAAAAACAGAGCATTTAAATTCGAATTTAAGAGTTTTCTACAAGTGAGAATCCAATTTTTTTAAAAAGTAGGGCGTCAATTAGCCTGATCAGTTGGGATCAAAACTGTTCCGGATAATTAGAAAACTTTAAAAAACGCTAACAGAATGTTTTTAACTAACTAAGTAACTTCCCTTTACACTTTTTTCAGGCTTAGGATTGGCAATCATAGTAATGCCTACATAACAAATAGCATGTGTAAAAGTTTTAATCTTTTAAAATTTTATTAGAAAGTACTTACAACCCACCTTAAAACTAGGCAGAAAGAACGTTCTTTTCAAAGTCACCAAGGGACAAAAGAAACCATTTTTCAACCTCTTTCAGATCTTTCAAAAAACGAAAAGCACTTGCACTATATTTATTTTTTTATTGAAGGAGTTGGAAAAACAAATTGGTCCTTGAACAATCTGGAACACTGCCACTCCATTGATGTTTTGAATTAAATTTTAAATGTTAAAACAATTTTTATAATTAGAGAGAAAAAAATTAAATAAACATCTAATAAAGAGAAATAAAATTTATTTGGTTAAAATAAAACATCTATTTGTGAAACATGTATCAAAAACAATTAACAAAATGAACACACATCTTAGTAACTAAAGATTTCTTTTTATCTACAGGATGCATAAAAAAAACATTTATACCATTCACTTAATAATTTAGCAGGATAAACAATATAACTACATAACAGTGCTCATCTGACTAAATGCCATTAAATTAAAAAAAGAAAATAAAACAATTATCACAAAAGAAAATTCCATTTCTCAAAACTTTTGTAACATTTGACAAATTAAATACCAGATTTATATTGCTAATATAGAAATAGAAAATATTCTTTTGTACTTAATACCAATGACTTGGTCTGGAATTCAAAAACAATATCACTTTCATGTTTGAAATCTATTTACTTTCTTGATATCATGTTTTTTGTAACTGACACTGTTACCGCTCTTAATCTGAATTTTTAAAAGAAAAATAACTATATACTAAAATAACTTTTAAACCAAATTTAAAGAATAATAATAAAAAATATATATTTATTTCTATTGATGCAACTACTTGTCGCTTAATAATAGAAATTACTATTATTTATTCACCAGTAACTAAAATATACAGGTTTAACACTAATACATGCATCACATTTAAATGTATGTTTTCAATTGAAAAGGATGAGGAAAAAACTAAAAAGAAGCCCTGCTTTAACATAAACCTTACAGGGTAGTGGTCAAAACCCAATGACCAATTAATTCAAAAGCACCCATTAATGCTTAAGGCAACATACTAAGCAACAAAGTACACCTTTGCCATAAAGTTCAAAATCTATTATTCAAGCGATAAATTGAAGAAAAAAAAACACTATTAGAAAGAAATGTGAAAATATTGAAGGTATAGAATTGCATTCATCAATCAGCTTAAAAGAGATGCAAGTCTTACAAAAAATGTAAAGTTTTATCTAGAATAATCAAATAATTTTATTTAACATGCACACATAAATTAAAGGTGTAGAATACTGTGGGCCGAAAAAGTCAAAAGTATCTAAAATAATTTTTTAGCGGTAGAGTGAAAAAGTTGCCAACTACCATTATAAAGCATACAGAATCTTTTTATTCCGAATAGATATCTGTTTACCCGCGAAGTGAAAGCTAAGAAAATTAAAGCTAAAAATGCTTAAAATTAAAAGTCATAAAAACAAATTTGGTTCATCAGTTTGCAGTAGCGCATACAAGATAACCTGATTAAACAATTTCTTAGAAACATAAATGCAAAATTTCATGAATTATTAATGAATATATTCAATTGATTTAACCACACCAGATTATATATATTAAACAACTGGAAAAACCTGAAGTGGAAAAGCAGATTTATCAGCTTGTAGTAGTGCATAAAGGCTTACCTTTTCATAAAAATATAAACTTTAGAATTATTAGTGAATATCTTCAACTGCTATTAATATACTTCGAAAACCTGAAGTGGAAAAACAGCGTTAATTTATCAGCTTGCAGCAGTGCATAAAGGCTTACCATTTTGTAAAAATATAAATACTAAATTTTAGAATTATTAGTAAATATTTTCAACGGCCTTACCTACACCAGATTTCTGATATTATATAATCATCCGGATATTAAATTTCGGAAAATTGCATGTAGATTGCTAACAACTTAAGCAGTTTAACATTACTTATTTATTTAAAAATGAGCTTTTAATATCCATGATACAGAGCTGCTGCTGTAGCAGACTATTATTAACTCGTAATTCAAAATTTTTTTACACACATTGTAATTTGGAAATGTTAGCTTTGTATAACAAAAAGACAATTAACAAAATATGTGATTTTTTTTTCTTTTTTAATTTTATGCTCAAGTCTAATTTTACAACTTTTGGTCAATTTAGGTCAAAGATAACACCAATTTAGAATTATAAAATTTTGTAATGATGGTAGTTAACAACTTTTCTGCACTACCACGAAAAGCTTTAAGATCCGTCGACTATTTCGACCCACTCTTGTAAACCATTTAATTCTGTATTAAAGAAGAAAAAAAGAGGGAAGGCTATGTTTGGCAATTTACTGCAATTGGAAGTAAAAAGAAACTTGATATTTATGATGAAACACAGAATTTAACATTGCAATTTAAGGATGATTGAAAAACAGTAGACAACACTTTTTCTTCTCTGATGTGATCAATCTATAAAAACTTTTGTCATACAGTTTTGTTTGAGACTCCATTTTGACATTCATTGTTAAGAATTGCCAGTTTTTCTTTGAGCACACTATATTTTTCGTTGTCCACATCAAATCTTTGAATAAGACCTAATAAATTTACACAAGAGATTCCTGGAGGGGATATGCCAGTATTTGGCAGCAGGCAAAGGCAATCGACTAAACTTATAACAATTTTTGACCTGGAAAAAAAACAAGAATTATAATAGAAATATTAATGAGTAACAATTTAAGAACAAAAAAAGAAATACTAAGGGTGAAAAAGATTATTCATTGTTATTTTAATCAATTCTGCATATTGATACAGCTATTTCGAGTAAATAGGCAGCGGTGCATTAGTATCTAAAAGTTAAATCATCACTATTTGCTGTGTGTGGTGATTTTATTTTTCTGATTTAATATAATTAAAAATAAATGCTTCAAAAAAAAATATTTTAAAATCACAAACCTATATCAGATAATTTCTGAAAAATGTTTTTTTCCCCCTCATTTTAACACTTTTTTTTAATATTAATATATGGTGCGATAAGAGTTTTTTTATTGACATCGGGCTGCATGACTAACTTACAAATATGGTTACGAATTCCGATTTGTAACATAATTTAAAAATTAAATCAGTAACAAAATAATGATTAAATAATATTCCTCTATTCACTTATCTATATTTTCTTGGTAAGTATTTTATTCCAAATTGTCTCGAGATCTAAAAATAACCTATTTTTATTCCATACATAAATCCAATTTCTAAAGTCACTTTTCATTTATTGCTCAAAACTTATTATATTGATGCCTTCAACTGAGAAAAATATCCCAAGATAAATATTTAAAGTCATTTAATTAATTTTGTAAATACAAATAAGAAACATTTAAGCATGGTTTAAGAGAAATGCTGAACTGTTTGCTCTTTGGTTAAAAGTTTTTAGCACTTTGAAGTCCATATATGTCCTTCTGAAAGAATTATTTCAGGCATTCTGTAACAAACCTCTCTAGCACTAATATCTTTCTGCAAGATATTTTTAATTATAAATATGCATGTTCAGGGGTGATTGTAAGCCCAACTCAAAAATCCTGAAAATTTCTTGAGTAAAATAATTATTTCAAAAAATTTATGTCTTTATAAATTTAAATCAATGATATTTTCAAAACATGAAATTCTAAATGAATTATATGCAGCATAATTTAAATGAATAATTATGTGTAAGTTTACGTTTATCTCTAATCACATTTATTATTCTACCAAAAAAATATTTACAAATGAGAGATACCAAGCATAAATTCTAGTTCTAATATTTTTAAATAAAATATATAAGAATTTTTATACATAAATGTGATTGATGAACTTCCTCACAAACTTAAGTTTCATGTATAAATCACATTTAAAGAAAATAAAACAATAATTAAGTTCAGAAATTGGGCCAAAAGTCAGAAGAATCTCATGCCTAGATGTATGCTTTCCTTCATTAAATAAACCTAACTTGAAAAAATTTATTGCGAATGTATGACACTTCCAGAATTTTATTTCTTGGCACATTAATAGAATGCAACAAATCATGGCGAAAAAAAATGAAATTGCTGGGTATGTAATGATTATCGAAAATTTTAGAAGAGTACAGTGTTTTTACTGGAAAGTACTATATGCATAAAAAAGTACTTCTGCCTTCCTAGCAATTAAAAGTGGCAAAATGTCAACATTTCTTCCATTTCAACTAGAAAGCAGGTTTTTATTTTCAAGTAAAGAAATTAGCTGGTCTTTTCCTGTTCTTAATATTTTAGAGAAAAATCTTCCTAGGAACTAAAATAAATCTGGACAGTGAAAGATATCTCAAGACATTCTCATTCAAGATAATAATTCATTAAATAAAAGTATATGATTAAAAAACCCACAGAGGTTAAGAAATGAAATGTTTTAAATTTGAGACTGAAATGCTTTTCTTATCTGGTCAACTTATTAGCTGCTGACCACTGAAGCGCTAATTAGAAACAGTGTTTCCAGTGATTTTTTTTACAGTACAAATTGCACCAGGATTTATGAAACTAAATAATTTTTAGTTTGATAGATGAAAATTATAGAAATTTTTTTTTTTTCAAAATTATTGTTTTTAAAGTTTAGATAGACCTTTATGAAAGGTCCAATGAAGTAGTTAAGAGCTTTGAAGCTTAGATATTTTTAGAAGGGTCCTTTTTTAAGACTTGGACATGGTCAAGATACCTTAAGGAAGGTGAATTTGTTTTTAGATAGGTCCCTGTCTGCACTAAAATATTTTTGACTTGTTTTTGTTTGGAATTTAATCTTTCTTACTACTCCATTCAATTAAAAAAAAATTGCATAAAAGATATGGCTAAACAAACAAAACCATATTAAAATAATAAATTTTTTTAAAGATAAAGTGATAACAAATCAAAATTTCTCACCATTTGGTATGAATATCTGTACCAACAGAATTCAGCGAAGAATAAAGCTCTTCTGCTCTCATCAAGATTTTGCATATCACAGATGATCCCAACTATGAGAATAAAAAATAACTCACATTACTAAAACTCAAAGACTTCTTCTTCTTATAAGGGAAATAAGTTTATTGTTGGTATATCTTTTCAAAAGCTAAAAGGTATACTAATATTATGCAGAGAAAAAATTTGATTTCATCTAATTGTCAATGCATCAAAATTTAATACCTTATTACTGACTACTTAATATTTTTGGGTAATAAATAAAAATAATTGTTGCCTTACCGAATTTTATGTAATCAAAAAACTGCAATCCTATACATGTTTTCATAACATGTTTAAATCTAGAAACTTTGAACTTATATTGATATGTGATCACGAACTTCTGATGCATTAAATTTAGAAACATTTTATTTAAATGTACATTACAATGAAGGTAAATACAAATCTAAAAAATTAATATGCTATTTGCAGTTTTGAAAAGAAAAATTGATGTTTTTTAAGATTATAACAGTTGACTAACACTTTCATGAATGAAATATAAACCTGCAACAGAAATACAACCTAACCAAAAAGGCCAGCAAATAAATATAAAATTAGTTGCTCTTTTTTTACTTTTTAGTAACAATGATAAATTTGTACAGCCTTTTAAAATGTTTTTTTACAGAAATACTTCTTACTAAAACTTATTCAAGACACATAAATAAAAAGACAAAATAATATGATTTGAAACAAAAAGTGACCCTTTCAACAAGGTTAATCAACTTATATTATCCCTTCTGTTAAAGCATGTATTGCAAAAATATGTAATATACCAAGAAAAACAAGTTTGTTTTATTATTTAGTTCAAGGAGGAATCATTTCCTCTTAGGTACTTATACAATGTTTGACATTTAAACTAAAGATACACTTGTAACTGGACATATCGGTTTATATCAGGGGTGTCAAATTCGTGCCCCGAGGTGAACATTTTTGTGGTCCAATCAATATATCCGAAGAAAAGTAAAAATAAAATAGAAATGTGAATTAGAAACGAAACTAGCATATAAAATTATAATATACGTCATTTATAAACTATATGGATCATTTTAAATTGTCCGCTGGGAAATTTAAAATTCTAATTGGCTGAAATGGAGTCCGTTTCACACTAAGCTATCAATTAATTAGACAGTACATAATCAGGTTTATCCTATTATAGCAAGGTAAGTTGGTTATCTTGTTCCATGGTTCTCAATCAATTCTGGGATTTGAAACAAAAAATATGTAAGTTTTTACAAACTATAAATCAAGATACAAGCTTGCTCTCCGATCAAATATGGTTGCAAGATTTATTTTTTATGGTTGATATAACCAAACACTTACCCGACTTAAATTTATTGTTACGAGGCAAGGATCAGTTCATTACGAAGATGTTTGACATAATTAAAAAAGCATTCAAATGTAAACTATTTCTTTGGGAGAGGCAACAGAAAAATGAAGATTTAACGCACTTCCAAATGTGCAACAAGAACAAATCTAGTTTAGATGATACTGCATCGTATCAAAAATACGCAGTTAGAACAGAATTTGAAACAAGGTTTAAAGATTTTAATTTTTTGGAAGACAAATTTCATTTGCTTTCTTTGATTTTCTCAATAAATATAGACTCAGTACCCAGTTATATGCAAATGGAAGTGATTGAGAATCAGTGCAACTCAAATTTGAAAGCAAAATTCATTGAAGTGGGTGTGCCTAAATTTCACGAATATTTACCAGCATGGTTTGAAAATACTCGCAAATTCGCATATGAAATTATTTTAAAGTTTGGAAGTACTTATCAGAGAGAGCAATTATTTTCTGTCATGAATGGAAATAAATCTCCTGTCCGAAACCGTATTCATAACGCTCACGTTGGGTCAATTTTGAAAGTTGTCTCGGCCAATAAAATTTCTCCCGAAATAGAAAAGATAAAAGCAGAAAAGAGATGCCAAGTATCAGGACGTAAACAATAATTTAACTTTNGTTAAGCATTGTTTATTTGGCCCAAGTTAGCTTTTGAGTTTGACACCCCTGGTTTATATGTATGAACAAATTAAAATAAATAAATAAATAGAACAAATTTGGATTAAAAAAATTCAAACAGTATTTTGAGAAAAAAGGAACATTTTATTCATTTATTTATTGTAAGTTTTGTACCATTATTATTAAAAATTAGGGATTCATAGAAAATGCCAATAATGGAAAATATGTGACAATTGTGGCAGTCGGTGTAAATTGAAGTAGATGGAGAAAACAGGATAAAACTTTTATTTTGTTGCAGACCTCGAGGTGCAAAACAAAAATAATATTGTTAACTAAGTGACATTTCAAGTAAATTAATAAATTTTGCATAAGATAAACAAGGACAGGCCATGGGGGGGGGGATAAATCCCACTGGACTTGTTTAATCAATGTAAAAATCAAAAATATTTAATCAACCCTGCATAGTGCAGGAAATCCATTATAGGCCACTGCCAAAAGAAAAACAACATCATACTATTTCAGGTCAATTAAATAATTTGGTTGAAGATTTAAGACCAAAAATTTATGAATAATTGATGTCTAATGTGGTTAAAGAAAGGTTAAAAATAAATTTTTATGCTCAGTTGCATGTAAAAAAAAATTTGTTAGAGATTTATATTTAAAAAAAAAAGTTAGCTGTTATTTTATTAAGGATAGAAATATTTGCATTATAAAATTGAATCAAAATTAATTAACTGATTTATTTATGTAAAGAGGAATTAGGAAGAATTAAATTTATAAAATAACTTTGAAAGGTAGGAAATATGTAACGTCTAAAATGGCTTCATAATGCCCTAAATCAGTGATATAAATATCTACTCACTTTGTATTTTAAAATAGTGGCTAAGCTGCTTTTGTCTATTTTTGTAATGTGCTCTTCTGAAAACAATTCTTTATCTAATGCTTCCATTAATTTAACCATGTAAGAGAGATTATCAAGTTTTGTGATTAAGTCCAAAATCACGTCCATATTTTGAATCAAGATGTGGTCATTTTGGTCTTTTTTAAGAACTAGAGGTAAGCAATGGAACAATTTGAGAAGACAGTGCAGTTGTTGCTCCTATAAGCAAAAAAAAAAAGAAAAGAAAAAAGAATTAATAATCAAGAAGTAAAAAGAAAAAAAGAATTTTAACTGTTAAAAATGAAGATAATTTACTTTTTATGTTTATTTTGTTACACATTATATTATGTTTTCGGAATTGCAATGGCATGAAACGATGCCACAACTTACATTTTTACACAATTTAAGTTTTTCAAAACTTTTAAATTTTCTTCTTCTTCATCTTAAGCAATTTTAACATTGAAACCAAGCCTGTAAACTATACACAAAAATAAATCTGAACTTATTCAGTTTAAATATATTTTGCGCCCATCTAGTAAGTTTAGGTTCTTAGACTAGATTCATTTGGATATTTTTTTAACATAATTTTACTTGAAAATGTAAAACACTGCTTTTTTTTTCATTCACTCATGGTTTAATTGCAAAATTAAGTTTCAATGGTATATTCTTATTATACAAAATTTGTTTCACTTTATTGCATGAAACAAATTATACCAATTATTTCAATATCGTTTATATCTACGTCAATTATCCTTATATCGTTCATATTTATATTAATCATAGTTTCTGTTGTATAAAAAACTTTGTATTTTTATTACAAAGGAGTCAACAGTAAATTGAGGAACACTGGAATTTTCAGATAAGAAAGTTTTGAACATTACAAACAAGAACATTACAAGCGACCCATACATTGTTGTATAACAAAAATTTAACTGATGCGAAAGTATTCTATCAAATGCTTACTTTTAAAAAATTATCACTGGTAATGCAATGATATTCTATATTTTCATTTCATGATTTTAATTAAGACCCAAAAGGCTGAAATGCATACTTACTGGGTTAAATATTTTAAAAACTCTCATTAATAAAGAGCGTCCTTTCCTTACAGTCATAATATGGTGAAAGTTATCATCACAGCCATCATTACACAAGCTATTATAAATATTTTGAGTTAACTTGTCAATATTCAATCTGTGAGGTCCACTGTCAGAAGCGGGTTTTGCAAGAATTCTCCTCTCTTCATCTTCAATTTCTAATAAGTTTGTGTACATCTTCTCAATATCAATCAGGAGACGCCTGTATTTTAAGAGACTTTGATTTGTGACCACCCTGCCTTCTTCATCTTCTAAATTTCTAGTGACCGTAATATCTAACACTTTTCTAGGAAAATTTACACTAACTGCTTGAAGCTTTCCCAATGAACCTTCAAATTGAGCTGAAAATATAAGAAACAGATATTCAAATTTAGGGAACCAATTTTGAAAGGAAGAATATGTACAGGCAAGTGCGACAAATATCCAATGCCTACTTTCTCTTTGTGAGTTTAGGATAAAATATTTATACTGCTTTAATGATCAAACTTTAAAGGAAGGTTGAAATGAACAGCAAAAGAAAAACTTTCATATAAGACGCATAAACAAAGAATAATAGTGTAAGTGTTTAAAAAAAAAACACTTGAAGATAAATAATTCTGATCTTCTTTTACCATAAAAATCTATTATTTCCAAAAATCTAATTTTAACACTTGCTAAAGTACATGCGATAAAATTTCTAACACAATAAAAAACATGATAAACAAAATTAATAGAAAGGTCTCACACAGCTTTAACTAGTCCCTGAACAGAACTATTAATTTTGAAATATTTTCTCACTGAGATCTTAAATTTATAATAAATAACAAAGCTTTTTGTTAACTTAATAATTCTAAATCAGATACTGTAACATTAAAAGGAAATGCTGGCTAATTCTCAAAAGCACTAATACTAAGAGAATACAGGCGAACCAAACACTATAGCCACAAATTCCAAAGAGATTTTGATATCAAACATAAAATATAGTTTAGTGACTGTGTAAATATTTTTAAATTATTTGTATTTTATGCCCTCTAACATAATTGTATATCTAGTAATGTCCTCTTCATCAACAGCCCTGCTTAATAACTTTCTAACTCTTATGATTATTAATATGTTGGAAGGAAAATCTTTTTTCTAAGTATGTTTGGTAAGTAGCTCTAACCATAAAGGTCAAATGACAACTCTCATTTTGGTACATACATTTCACAATAAATCACTAAAAGAGCAAAAAACTCTCAATAATTACATGGGTTTTTTCAAAATATTATGAACAGCAGTTGAAAGCTGAGATGATATATTCATCACTCATGTTACAGTAATACTCTCATAATACAGTAAAACCACCATCAATCGTTTCTCAAAGAGACCATTCATTATGAACGATAGATACAGAAAAACGATGCATGTATGACAACATAAAATATCAAACAATGACTTGAATATCTATTAAAGTTAATAAAGACATTAAAAAAAAATAATTATTATGATAACTTATGATAAATAATTAAATTAAGATAATAAAAAATTTAGTTTGAACACCCTTTATTCGTCTGAATGCTAATTGGTTAGAGTCTGTGCAAATTTTTCGTGTTAACAAATTTATAATGTGAGAAAAGAAAAAATATGAGTTTCTTGTGATCTCGCACTGTAGTGAAAACACTACATCATTAGCATGAGCAGTTACTGTTTTTGTTCTCAAAACAAAATAACTGTTGGTAAAATTTCTGAATTTTAAGAATTAATATTATTAATATCATAACAATATCATTTCTGACAGGACCCATAAAACAAGAGGATACAGGCAAGAAAACAAAAGATGCAGAAACAATGAATCGAGGTTTATAGAACAGCTTGTGTTACATTTTTATTAATTTTTGATAAAAATATAATACACTATCTTTATCAAATTTTTAAAATCCCCATTTTGCTTAATAAAATAAAATAGGTAATGTAGAATTTCAAGAAAAAATCTACTCAAGAGACGATACTTACTAGGGACATATGTCCTATTTTCATGCTTAGAAGTCTGAGGAAGAATAAGTTCAGGTGCATCTCCAGCCCCTTTATTTGCACTTTCTGAATATTTCTTTTGACAACGCCTAGCTACTTGCGTCTACAAAAAGAAAAGGCATACATGACAATTTTTACTTAAAGTTATTATAGTCAAGTGTCATATGCGACATTTTCATACCAATTCTGGAGATGTAATATCATCTTTATTAAAAGATATCACATCAAGGGTCAAAAATTTGATCTAAAAACTCTAGATGGCAAGATAATTTACATTTAAAGGCTTACAACTTTACCTAAAATTTCGGTTAAGGAAACAAGGTTCAATTCGCTCTCTTACTAAATTTCTATGGGACACAATGCTTCATGATGTCACGTCTACACAACGTCAAAACACACTACATATTTGCATGAAAATTTGAGGTAAAGGAAGACAAATGGTTTATAGCTAACTCCATTATGTCACAGAAAACAAGGGTTGTAATTATTTAATTGGGTGATTTCTGTGACTAAAACAAAATCTTTAAGAAATGAATCTAAGTTTAAACATAATACGTAAATATCAGAATTTAAATTTAAAGCATATTATTAAATAATATTAAGTATAAATGTACTATATGTGCAGTAATTATATTAAATTATATATAATATATTATTCAATATAATTAAGTATATTATTAAATTTCTAAAACAAAAATTTATTTTAACGATTTATTTTCGATGAATCATAATACACCACAATCAATACATTTTAAGAAAAATAAAAAATAAATAAGTAATTAAACAAATGGAAACATACATTATAAGATGCTACCCAATGTTCTAACTAAGTGTCCCTGTCCCATCCCTGCCTGCCCGTTCATCTCTATAAATACGACCTCTTTCAAAAATAAATACCATCTCTTGACACTGCCTTTTCATTCATATTCCATTAAAAAAATTTATTCACTGTTTACATAATAATTGCACATTGATAAAATCATATGTGTTTAATTCTGATTGCTATTGCAAATATTTACTTTATTCTGATTATTCTCAATCGGTTAAATTTTAATAATTTTCTCTCTTTTACGGGAGGGAGGAAGTTATATTAATAAAAATTTTAAGTGATTTTAAATTCAAAAATTTTTTTTACATGAATACCTTTTAAAAAAAAATGAACCTGTAAATGTTTATTTTCTTATAATTTTCAGTTTAAATTACAGAAAAAGGCTTTCAAGTAGTTTATCAATAATTTTTTTATTTACTTTTTTTTACCTCAATTATTTTTTATAAACTACAAATATTTCTCTCATTGAGAATTACTCTCTGAAAAATACACATAAAATAACATAAGAGAGTAATTTAAAAATTATTGAGGATAAAATTCAGCCATTATTAACGTTACATATTTTGGTAAATTTTTAGGGAGTTAAGTGCCCCTTTCTAAGAAGAAGCACCCAGCCTTTTTTTATTTCTAAAACAGGTGCCCTTTTTTATTTTTAGGATAGAGTGCTTACCTCTATGTTACCTAAAATAAGATTACTTCGTGCATACATTTGGTTGATGTTTATTCAGTAAAAGTAGTACTTACAGTAAAATAATAGTCTTCTACATAAGGGTTTTCAGTTTTGAGAAGCAACAGTTGTATTTTGGTTATCCACTCCTTCTCACGTTGAGTCATCAGTCCAGCATATTCATCTTCATGAGGAGAATTTTGCATATCTTCATAATATTTATTATGATTAATAACAGGAAACTGAAAATGTCTGGAAAAAAAAGAGAATTTTTAAAATCATTCACATAAATTTCACTTTATAATTACTGTTGACCCTACAATGCAACTAACACTACTATCTATTATTGACTATTAGGAATTTATTTGGTGTAAGCAAGCATAAAATAATAACAATGGAAAAATTGCTCTCGATGCTCGAAATAGTTTTAAAAAATGTATTATTTTTAAAGTCAAAGTAATACATTTAAAATATGTTTCTTTTAGAAATGTAGAATTAATGTTATATTTTAATGAACAAATTAAGCCAGTTACTTAATGTTATTACTGGAGTACATCATGGAATAGCAAAAGTTGAATACAGATATGCAAAATAGTTGTGTCCCTAATTAAAACAAAAATTTAAAACACTTGTTACAATCAGTACAATGCATAATCTGTATATTAAATTTGCATTGTTTTACACAATAGCTTTTTACTATTTCCTAGTTGATTACAGGATTTCTCATTGAAAAATGCTTTGCTACACACAAACCAGAATTTAACTATTACCTTCATCTGCACTTTCCAGAATTTATCTTTAAAATATAATTAATGAACTTAAAAAAATTCTATTTAATTAATTTCTTAACTAAAAACATGATACAGTAAGAATTTAAACTTTTGGTTTATTTTAGGTTAGGTTGTATAACTACCATAACTGGCGCTGTTATTTTTAAAAAAATATTTCCTCAAGAAGTTGGAGGAACAGCTTAGAACTGGGTATTGCCGATAAGTCCCGCAATAAAGCTGTTGCAGAATTCAGAGTTGAGGTGGGCCATGATTGCCTGGCGAACCACCTCTGCCGCATCGGCATTCTCGCTGATCCAAATTGTCCGTTATGCTCGAATAATAAACTTATGGACAGAAACCATCTATTGAGATGCTCGGTTCTGCATGGGGACTCTGAGGTGGGGTGCTACTGGAGTGCCCAACATCTGTTAATGAGATAGTGACTTTTTTCTCTTACTTGTTGTTCACCTTTTTGTTCACTATTTTTGTAAGAGTTTGTCATTTTCTTTCGCCATTAGAAATTTAAAAAAGAGTTTTTTTTTTAAATCTTTTATGTTGCAAATAAATACACACCATACACATTAAGTTTGCATTAGTAATTTTTAATGAATTTATGAATTTCAATCACTTTCATGTAATTAATCTTATATTAAGAACAAGATACGGTAAACATTTAAACTTTTGGTTGATTTCAGGTTACTATCCCAATTATCTCTATTGTATAAAAGAAAAAAATACTTATTTTATAGTTCACATTAATTCTGCACTATTAATATTTCAGCACAGAAAATATTTGATCTCTTACTAAACTATATCCAACATAAATAAAATTTTAAATAATAATAAAGCTTATTCGCTAATGGAGTATACATTTCAAAATTTACTTAAACAAGTAATGCTATCTATATTGTTTTATTTATCAAAATAGCAAAAGCTATTACACATTACTATATAAAATCTATAATTTATTCATTATGAAGAAAAAAACTTTTTAAGTAGCAAATTAAAGGCAAAGTTATATTTGTGAGACTAAAATAGTTTAATCTTATACCAAACAATCATTTTATTTCAAGTAACCTTGATAATTAATAATGTCTGATTGTTACTAAATATTTAAAAATAAAAAATCCTTACATTTCTCTTTAGCAAAATTAAATTATAAAATACTTTGAATCTCTTAAAAAGCTGCAAGGAAGTCTAACACAGGTTTCGTAGTGGGTTAACAAAAAAATCAGAACATTTTTTTGAAGCATTAAGGATATATGTACCAGATTACTTTAAAAAAAAAGGTATAATTTGCTCTAGTTAAGTATAATAAAAGCAAATTTAATATCAAATAATAAAAATTGTTATTAATTTCAGGATTACTTTGATTAAGTTTAAACAGTTTCCACTACAATTTTACCATTGGATATTTGAACAACTTGTCCTAGTTTTGGGATCAATGTATACAGAACATTTTTTATAACACTTTTGCATTAAAAAAGTAACCAATATCAACAAGTTAATATTCCCTCAGACCAAAATTTATTTAAATTTACAATCCAGTTCCAGACTTTCCAATTCAAATAATTTTAAAGTACAATTTCAATAACTATAAAATGAAAACACAGTAAATATGCTACTCAATAGTTTCATAAAAAATAGTTTAGGGGATGATCCCTCACCTAACCATTTAAAAATTCTATATGATACGAAAACTATATTGCTGAAGGGAATCTATCATTTTTTAAATCAGATGAAAGAGATGATTTATAATTTTGAAACTACAAAATTTTACCCCACAAGATTGCATTTATTGAAAATAAATAAGCGTATAACCCCTGAATTCATGACCATAAAAATTTGTTACTTCAAAAGTTGTCTTTTTCATAAAATGGCTGGATTTTCAATAAGTTTGCAACAATGAATCTTGCAAGTAATTGTCTGAATCATGCATATAATTAGTGAATGGTCCCCAAGTTCCATTTATCGAGTTATGTGATTTTTACCAGCATTATCCATTAAAATAAAAAGATGTTGAATCAAAAATCCAAATCTTTCTTCCTTCAAATCAATTATTTTAAAATGTGCATTCATATTTGTAGGAAATGGAATGTTCTATACACAAAAAATCAAGAATAAAAACTAAAAATATTTTTCATCAGAAAAATCAAGAATATCAGGACAACTACAAACTCTACTAGCAGCAAAGAAAGAATAAGAAAATCATAATATTTATTCAATTAATAATTCTTACTTATTTAACAAAGGATGTGGGATACTTCTGGGTGGAAAATTCATCAGACTGTGGTTTAAACTAAAATTAAAAATATATCAGCATTATTAAGTTTTAAAAAAAGACTATAATCATAATCTGTCAGAAACTAATATAAATAATATTTTAAAAAGCTACAATTATTATTTTAATTAAAGATGAATTAAAAGCAATATGTTATAATATAAAGCTTACTGTAACTAATGTAAATACTGCTTAAAACATAATTGGAGAAATACATAATTATTAATCTTTTAAAAAATATTATTTTTTCTTCTTTTCCTGTAATTTAACAATGCAACTACATTTGATTAAAAATTATTGTAGCACCTTAAAAATAAACTAACTATTAATTATTCTTATTCATTTAACAAAAGAAATACAAAAAAAATATTTGTTTTACATAAAACTTTTTTTTCACATTAAATATATACGAAGAATTTAAAACAAAATGCTAAACACAAAATTAAAGAGAAACTTTCCAAAATGATATATATCAGAAGAATTTTTACATAAATTTATTTTAGCTTTGCAAACATTTGTGTGGCATAGTTACATAATTAAAAAATATAATTTTTCAGGTGATATTCTTCTGAGAAAATTTTCCCATAAATAAATTTTGCAGTAAACAAAGTGTTCAAAATATTTGTGATACAGGTTCTTAACAAACTCCCTTAGTAAAGCATTATTCAGTCTGCCTTAACAGGCATAGATCAACAGTAACAGGAGAACGAAAATATTGAATCTACAAACATGGTTTGCCTAGATAAAAAGTAATGTAGAGAAATTTTTTTATAACTGCAGCTCAATGTAAATCATAAGCACTGTGTTTGTTAATTTACGATACCTATGTTACAAACATGAATAGGGGGGAAAAAGAAAAATTGAATAAATATCACTTTTAAACAGGTAAAAAGGCATTTTTTTAAAGCATATCTTTTTCATGTCACTAATTTTATTAAAATGAGTTAAATTCAACTTACTTAATATTTGAAGGTGAAAAACCGGGAGGAAGATTTGGCATTGGCGGGCCTCTTAGAGGCATTCGATTGTGCATCAAGCTACCTGTAATATTATTTAAAAAAATCAATGAAACTTATTAACTATATTAGGGGTGCACAACCTTTTTGAGTGAAGGGCCACTCGCACAGCAGGTTGGCTAACAAAGGGCCGCACATGTATTTAGACATGTTAATGACAAATGTAATAATGTTTATTTAAACATTAGCGTCCCATTATTAGAATTCATTCAAAAATAAAAAAAACTTGCTATTTTATCATATGAACCATAGATTTATCAGAATAAATAAATATTGAAGAAAAGAAATATTTTTTTTTATCATATCATGCAATATGAAAACTCATTTTAGAATCAAATTCTAATAAATTAAAAAAAACTGCAATGCCCACAGAATAAAAGTAGGAAAAAGTTTAGCCGTAATTAAGTAATATAAATTCAAATTAAATATTTTAATTGAAGAAAATTTATAGGTTTTAAACAAAAGCCTAAAATAAAAACAAAACTGTGATAGTTCAAAATAAAATTCAATGCTTATTTTGTAATGCACTTTATTATTTTATTTTATTAATTATTAGATTTTTTATATCGCAAAAATTTTCCTTTTTTTATCGAAAAAGATCACTGAAGCAACAAAAAATTGAAATCTAAACTACAAACAGTGAGCAGTTTAAAAATTCACGTTTTCCACCATTTTATGAATTTCTCAAGTTGCAATAACATTGCGTTTAAATTAGGGAGGGATGTAATGAGTATTTGGCCCATCTGTGAAACATTCAGTTGGTTGAACGATCAGTCAGAATATTTTTTAGAAATGTATTTTTCTAAGTTTTTTTTATTTTTGAAATTTTATAGATAGTATTACTTTTTTTTTTTAAATTACAATCAGACAAGTCAATTTTGTCATTTTTTCGATACTTTGAGAATTGAGAAGGATCCATTTTTTGCAGTTTTTATTATAACCCAGCATTTTAACAGAACGCCTCATACTATTAATTTATTATCACTCTTTCCCTGTACTGTAATATAAATAACCAGTAACATAGAAAAGTGTGATTTTCAGTATTAAAGTTTTGTTTCAGGAACTAAGAAAAAAAAAAAATTTCTGTTTTTCTTTTCTTAGGCATTTTTATTAGGACTCAGCATCTTTTTTAAAAATAGAGTTACAAATAAAATTTATTTTATAGCAATTTTTTTTCTTCTAAAATTAAGGCAATGAGAAAAATTTAAATTGAGATTTTCGGCATAAGATTTTCACTTAAAAAATTAAGAACATTTTTTCTATCTTTTTATTTTCTTTAAATAAAAAAAAAAACTTTTTTTAGACATTTTCATTATAACGCAGTAATTTTTAATAGCATTTCTGTTGACTTAATTCTTTTTTCTTGGCTTTTTCTGGTAATTGAAAAACTGAGATGTTCAGCCTTAAAAAAAATTTTCAAAAATTAAGATTGATTTTTATGCTCTCTGTTTCACTTTTCGACATCTTCAAAAACGTTCTTGATTGGCCTTATTTTTTAGAGTTAATTTATGAATACGTTTTTCCAGGAAATACTATTCTGAGCATTGAAATTTTAGTTTCAGTGTTGCTATACAGCTAAAAGATTTTGCTATTTGGCCCCAAGCGTACGGCGTTCAATAGATTTTTTCTTCTTTTTTTTGCCGAATATTTGGTTTTTGATCAAATCACAATTCATTACCACATTCGACCAAATCATATTCGTTGCGGAAATAAAAACGAAGGAAAAATAACTAGGATTTACGATAAAACTGTATCGTAATACCGTATCAAAAAGTGATTATTTAATTATGTGATTAACAATCACGTGTCGTAATAACATCATAGTTAAATAACGGGATCGTCAAAATCACGAGGAAAAATATAGAAATAATTAGGAAAAATATATTTATGCTGAACTCAGCACGAATAAAGCGCGTCAAATGCATGATTTAAAATTTGCATGTCATAACAGAATAATTGGAATTTTTTATAATACGTGGGAACGCATGGCAATAACTGCCGAGAAAAATTTTTGAAAAAAAAGAAAGAATTGCAAAAAAAGGATAAAAAATCACTTAGATTTAAGATGAAATAGTCACAAATAAAGTGCACAAAAAGTGATTATTTAAATTTGCGATCTCAAACTCGCGTCGTAATAAAAATTCGGAATTTTCAAAATTACGTAGAAAAGCGGAAATAACTGTTTAAAAAAAATAATCATTTATACTTACGATAAATTCGGCTTCAAGAAAGCGCGTTAAACATACATTTACTAAAGAATCTGTTAAAATTGATTGTGTCAAAACGCGATGACTTAAAAGTTCGATTAAAAATTGCCATTTTTTAAAAAAATTTTTTTATTGTGTTTAGAAACCCTCGCGGGCCGACTTCAGTAGTCGAAGGGCCGCAGGTTGTGCACCCCTAAACTATATTAAATAAATCAAGTATCTGAAAAGGCCACTAAGCTATAAAAAAAACTTTTTAACTAAATTTTAATGTCTTGTAATTAATAAGCACAAATTACTTAAGTTACACACAGTAAATTTAATACAATGCAATAAAAAAAAAGAAAAAAATAGCTTTGAAATGAATAATAAAACTTACTCATTTGAGCTTTCATGAACAGATATGGATCTGGTAAAGGACAATTGTTACCTAATAAAAACAGAAGGAGGGGAAAAAGAAAATCATATTAAATTGCTGGCTCATAACTTAAAAACCATCAGAAAATACAATAAATAACATAACATTTTTTTTTCCTTTTCATACTAAGTTGTTATTTTAAGAAAAGACACAAAATATGGAATGTCGATAGCCTTAAGCATTCTGAATAAATGATCCTACACCAGCTTTTGTAATGTAACCTAAATTCAATCCTTTTTGTCATAACGTTTAGAATTATAATAACTTTAATCAAATATACAGATGCCTTCCAACAAATATTATAATTTTATTTACATTTATATTTTCATTTGATAATGAAAATAGCATGTTTTATAAAATTATCATAAGAATTTATTACTTAAAAACCTTATAACTTTTAAAATTCACAATAAACAAAATATATGAACAATAACAAAATATTAGATTAAATTTACTTTCATCAATAAAAATTTAATCACATTATCAAAACTAAATTACACATTGCATTAAATATTTACACAAAAATTTTTTCACGGTGACACTTTAATTAAACATTGTTTTGCAAATAATTGCTGTTAAGTGTCTTAAAACTTAAATGAAAAACAGCTTTTCAAAGATAAGCTTTTTACTATTGGCACTTTCAAATGTAGTTTAAAATTATATCACAATTTTAATCCACAATAAAATAAAAGCGCAACAAAAGCTTTTTTTTAATAAAATTAATAGATTTCAAAATTTGAAAAAATTTTTTTTAATTAAGTTTACACCAGGATTAGCCTAAGTGAACCCAGCATAGATATAAGCTGCAGGTTTTTTCAGATTTAGCTCACTTATGTGGAATTTTCATATTTTATCATTTTTAATCAATTTTCTTTGAAATTGAGCAAGAACAGTATCAAACGAAACTGTTCTTTTTTGTTCTTCGTTGTTTCGATTAATTATTAATAAATTTAACTTTGTAAGTATGAACATAAAATTATATGATGTAAAATATATTTCAGCTATCTGATTTCCGTGAACAAAATTTAACAAAGACTCTAAAAGTGCAAGATTAAAAAAAATGTATTACTAAATTTTTATACATTACTTATCAACAAAAATATTTAAGTGTATTATGCATACACGTTATAGACATGGCATAATTTATTTAGATTGCATAATTTACTTAAATAATACATCGACAAATATAGATAACATATTATTCAAAATGTAAATATTTTTAAAAAATTGCCTGTAATGAGTCTTTTAAAAATTTTTACTAAAATATTCTCATTTTATTTTAAGATTTCTATTGAAGACTATACCTGCTTCCATTTACTGTAGCTACTGCAAAAAAAAAACAAAAAAAAAAAATAATAATAATAATTTAAAACTGAATTATTCACATCTCTTATGACAGCTGGACAAGAATATTTTCTAATTTTAGATTAGATAAGTATCTTTTATAAATAATCATTTTATGCAATTTATAATACAATCAAGCAATATATTTAATTTATGTACAATACATTTGAACAAGAAAAAAAAAACACTTTTCCCCGAACAAAATTTGGTTTTTATTATGAAAAAACAAATGAGGGAAGAATTTTTTCTCTAAAAATTTAGTTTTGGTGAAACCCAGTTTTTATCCTTGTTTTCAAAAAGTAAACTAAAGGATAATTTAGACATAGTTTTTCACTCGTAAAAAAAATCAATTAATTAAAATAAAAATCTTAAAACTTACCTAACATAGGACCTCTTACAGGTCTTAGAGGCAAGGCAGGCGATGAATGACTTGGAACATTTAAAGGAGATGGCTAAAAATAAAATACTTGACATTAATTAACAACTTATTTTGAAATGTGTTCATATGCAGCAGAAATCTTCCAACTTAACAATTGATTTTTGTGTACAGTTTTTATTAAATACAAATTTGGCAATATATGCATTAAATTGAGCCCACTNGTATAAAAAAATTCCCTGATAATTCCAAGTTTTCAAGGTTTTCCAGGTGGGTGGCCACCCTGATTATGCAATTTATAATACAATCAAGCAATATATTTCATGTATGTACAATACATTTGAACAAGAAAAAAACACTTTTCCTCGAACAAAATTTGGTTTTTATTATGAAAAAACAAATGAGGGCAGAATTTTTTCTCTAAAAATTTAGTTTTGGTGAACCCCAGTTTTTATCCTTGTTTTTAAAAAGTAAACTAAAGGATAATTTAGACATAGTTTTTCACTCGTAAAAAAAAAATCAATTAATTAAAATAAAAATCTTAAAACTTACCTAACATAGGACCTCTTACAGGTCTTAGAGGCAAGGCAGGCGATGAATGACTTGGAACATTTAAAGGAGATGGCTAAAAATAAAATACTTGACATTAATTAACAACTTAACAATTGATTTTTGTGTATAGTTTTTATTAAATACAAATTTGGCAATATATGCATTAACTTGAGCCCACTAATTACAATAATAATCATTTAAAGACTGCATTGAGATGGCAGAAAAATTTGAATTTATGAAGAATGTACTACAGTTGATTAAGTAAATTCAGCTACATGTGCGATTTTTTCAAAACATTAACTTTTGCCCAAGAAAATTAAGAATGAATTTTTATGAATCAAGAATTAATAAATACAGGAAAATATTTTAAATAATATTTAATTAGATTTTTTTTTGTTTAAGAAAATAGATTATATCTAGAATTTTGAATAATAGTAAGAATTCTCATAAGAAATGTATTACTTTTTCATTGCAAAAGCATCTTAGCATCACTTGCATTTTTATATTATGTAAAGTAAAACCACATTTGTAAGCAAGCACATAATTAAAAACCAAATCTCTTGTTTGCATTTTCAAAATACGCGTTCGTGTACAAGGACAGTAATTAAAAAAAAGAAACAATAATGAAATTAAATTGGAAGAACACCATTTCTTTATAATTCCAAGGAATAAAAATTTAAGTACATCATTTGTTCTATAATAATTTAAAAACACAACATATATTGTTTGTTTTACATTTTAATATAATTTGCATATCTCATATAAATTGTTTATGGTTTGGAAATAGATATAAAACAAGCTTGGTGGCAATTTTTAAATGACACATAATTTCATTTTTTGTATATCTTGTGTCTGAGACCAATTAAATGTTTCATCCAAACAGCACAGTAAAATTTCAATTAACTTTTTACTCGGATGGAAGCCTTATTTTTGATTTCATTTTCAAAATATAGCTCATTTATAAAATTTATCTAAATTAAGAAATGTCAACGAGTAATTAAAACTGAATTTTACGTACTTAAAAATAAATAAATATATAAGTAACCAAATTATCATTACCATAAAATAATGAAAACAAATATTTTAAGAGAAATATTACTTACAAATGCAAAAGTTAACCAATAGAGAATAACCCATATACTAAATCCTTTAAATTTTGCATAGATTTGAGAACAATTTCTTATTTTTGTAAATTATATTTAAGACAAAACTAAATATAATCTTTCTAATAATTTATTCTATACTTGTTTAGGATTTCCCTAAATTTAAAGAAAAAATTTCCTATCTTTTCAACAACAACAAAAAAGAAAAAAAGAAATTACAGAAAATTAAACCATATTTTTGTTAAATATGCAACTTGTTCTCAGAAATCAGTGTTTTTTTTTCTTAATTCGAATCAATATGTAAATATAAAATGCAATGGGAGGGGAAAAAAATAAATATATATTTTTTTTAAATTATTTTATAATTTAAATTAACATAACTACATAGCAACCAAATTTTTACAAAAAACAAATGTAACAGATCAGTGTTTTCACTACAGCGGGAGAACGCGAGAATCTCGCATATTTTTTTCTTTTCTTGCAATAAAAAATGACTAACGCGAGAAGTTCGTGCACTCTATTAATCAATTTCAAAATGCACGAATTTTGGAAAAAAAATTTAGTCTTTTGCCATTTCGAATAAAATCCGTTTCACTTTTCTTCCTTGATCTTTCATTATTTTGAACATCGGTCCTTCCCTATTTATCAGTATTGTTCAGAACTGGTGCGAACAGCAGAACACCCCCCCCCCCCCCCCCCCCNCCGATCCATGGAATCCCTTTCAGAACACATTTCTCTGCAACCACGTGTTCACCATAGGTAAGGTTTCTTCATGTAAGACGTTTGCAATTTTTATGCATGAATGTAAGATGGACAAATACCTTGTTAAGGCAACATCTTCTACTCCGTAACGGACAAATGAAAATGAAACAAATGTCGGTAGAAATAGTCAAAACGAAACAAATACGGATATTTTTCAGCCAAATAAATATAATAGCAGATGAAAAAGTAGATATAGAACATTTTCCATATGATGATGCAGCAAAAATATTCAATTAGAAGACGTGAAAAATGTATTATGATTAAAGAAATAATTTTTTTCCAAGTCTATTCGTGTTTTTTTAATTTTTAGAAATCTCACTTAACTTTTTGAAATCTCACCCTGTTTTTGAGAAAGGGTGAGAAATTTTCTTCCATTTTTTTCTGCAATGAATACACTGCAGATGTTAAAATAATTTACTCATATTAGACTTTGAAGTATTTAATGCTATCATCATTACTAAGATTGTAAATTTTTCAAGTTTATTACATAAATTTTTCCAGGTTTTTAGCAAAAGAAAATGCTAAAATCAAATTCTTTGGCAATTTCAGGTTTCCAGAATCTCCCAAACCAGTAAAGAACTCTGATTAACTTATAATAGTGTAAAAGTTTTACATAAAAATATGCATTAAATAACTAAAACATAGTCGCTTATTTAGTAAAAATGCATATTAAATTTAAAAAATTTTACCCTGGGAGATCCAATGGGTGACATCATGTTCTGCGGCATTCTAGGAGGCATCATTCGAGGCGGAGGACCATAATTATTTTGTATATTAGGTGGAAAGTGCCTTGCATCTGAAAGCATTTGCCTTTCAACTTCCTCCCTCGTAAGCATTCGATCTGACGTTACTTTATTTTGAAATTGTCCCAAGTTTGAAAGTTTAGGAGGAGATCTGCTTAAATTATTTTGATTAGTCATGTTAACATTTGGAACAGATGGCCAGTTTCCGCTACTTTGTTGTTGCGTTGTTGGCTCCTTTGAAAGCAAATCTCTCTCAAGCTCTTCTGCCCGCCATGCTTTGGGAGGAGTTGTGAAAACATTATCAGAGCTTGAGTTAAACACATTGGGTGAATTCTGAAATGGAAAAAAATATTAACATTCCAAAATTGCATTTTAAATTTTCAAGAATTTAACTCAAACATTATGAAAAACAGAGAGACTAAATATTTTATACCCGGCTCAATACTTTCATTAAAAATAAATATTCAGAAAACAGTTCTGGTCAACAATTCTACCACCAAGATAGAGACAAGCTATTTTAAAGAAATATCTGTACAGTATACAGAATTAACTGCTTTTAATGAATATTTTTAGAATTTTGGGGGGGGGGGAAACTGAAATAAAGAGTAACAAATTTTTATAAATATAATTTAAAAATACACATAAACAACTGCTCTGCCAACAACTCTACTAATAGGATAGATAAGCTATTTAAAAAAATATATGTATAGTATTCCGAACTGACTGTCTTAATTTATGTTTTTAGATTCAAGTCAGTTGATTAGTCAGAATCAAGAAGTCAGTTGATTATTTTTAAAATCCAGTTATCCTTTTATATCGTTAAGATTAAAAATATTAATAAAATTTACTTATTAAAAAATTATAATAATTACATATTTTATAAACAAAAATAAAATTATCTTTTTTTATCAATGTTTAAGGAGAAAAAAACTTGTAAGAACAAGGAGGAAGGATTCATGCCCATGAAAGCCAGTGTTGCCAGATAAGGGGTTTTCCCCCTAAATTTAGGGGGATTTTTTATCTTCAGTGGGTATTTTAGGGGAATTGGTTTTTAGGGGTTTGCTTTAGGGTTATTTGCGAATTTTACTAGTTTCATTTTGGTACCTTCTAATATCAAATTCTATAACTGAATGCGTGAGATGGTAACATGAAAATCAATATGTTAAACAAAAACAAAAAAGATTAAGATACAATTTTAAACTTTTACCCCTTTGTTGAATGTAGAAGGTTATTACTTATCTCGATCAACCAGTATGATTGGAGAATTTGAATTCAAATTAGTTAAAATTTTTAATGTGCATGGTTTAAAAATAATGCCCAAGGATAACGAAAAAGAGAAGTACGTACAAAAGTACAAGAAAGATTGGGAACCTGAAAAGCAGTTAAAAGGTTTAAGGGTAAAGGATTTTGTATCTACTTCTTCAATGCTAAAAATGTTTAACAGCGAAAACATATACAAATCAGAAAGTATTGACGAAAATATGTTGGATATTTTATCAAAAATTTAAGCATAATGTTAGAATTAAAATATTAAAAAAGACTATATCGTTGATAATAAAATATTTATAAAAAAAATGTGCAATGTTAAAAATTTGCAAAAGTATTGAAAAAAAATATCTTAAATATTTTAGTAGAAATTAAAGATAATGTAATGATTGAAATGTAAAAAAGATTAATTTGTTGATAATAAAATATTAAAAAGTATTGAAGCAACGTTTTCTACATATATTATTTAACTTTTTTCTTATTCTTTAATACTTATACATCAAGTTAAAAATTTTGGGGTTTTTTAAAAAATATTAGGGAATCTTACAACGCCATCTGGGGGTGAACGGTTATCAGCACCTGGCAACACTGATGAAAGCAGATTCTGAGAAAAATCTATTTTGCACTCAAACAGAAATTGTTTTCTCACAGCACAGCTCATCTTCACTTCGTAAAAACATTTGGGGGAAACTGATTTCCCAGGTTGTTGTTTGGCAAAATTAAGCCATCCTCAAAATGCAACAGATTACAATCCAATCGTAATTTTTGTAAAAAATTAGCATAAACTGTTCTTCCCTCTTTAATCTTCAACGATGAATGAGAAACAGACAAAGGGGTTGGTGAGCGACACGAACATTTAAGGTCTAACTAAATTAAGAAACAAAACCAAAAAAAAAAAAAAAACAATAAAGCTTGTTTACCTGTATTTTTGCTGTGATACAAAATGTAAAAATCATGTGTTGTACAATTAGGTTGAAGGTGAAGGTAAACAATTTATACAATAATATTCCTTTTTTTAAAATATATAGAAGATTAAGATGGAATCTTACATGTGAATAATTACTTTGCCTTTGACCAATTGATTGTAAAAAAGAAGTAATCCCACTATCCTTGGGAGTTGTGCTCCATATAGAGTGAGTCTTGGGAGAACCCTAAAAAAAATTTCAATAAAAAATTTTAAAAATCATACAACAAAAAATTCAATACAAAATTTAAAAAAAAATGGTTTTATTAAATTCCATAATAAAATAATAATGATTTAGTAAACTAAAATAATTAGAAGAAATTTTAAGTTACAAGTCTCAAGTTACTTTAAGAGGTGGAAAACCTTTTTATCATGAGAGGTCACATTTAAAGTAGGCAATGATAAAGGAGGCTGCATGTGCTGATATACCTATAAATGCGACCTTCGTGAAATTATTATAGTTTTTGTATAGTTTTATCACTCTATTGCATTATCTAAGTATAATACAAAAAACATTAAGTCATTTATTAAAATAAAAATTCACAATATAGAAAATGTTTGTATTCACATAAGACTCATAATTTATAATAACATTAATATTTAATAATTTTCATGTAACAACTACATATATTTAAATACTGTTTCAAATATAAATAATAAAGTAGAAGAGATTTGTATTCATACAATTTTAAACTCAAACATCCAGATTCGTATTCATGCCATGTTATATCCAGATTTGTATTCATGTTATGTTAAAATCAAACAGAGATTCATATTATAGTGATTTTTAAATTAAACATTGAGATTCGTATTTACACGATTTTATAGTAAAGTGTATAGATTCATATTCATATGACTTAAAAATCACATTGAGATTCATATTCACACAATTTCAATAAAATAAAATATTGCATTAATATTTTTATCAAAAACATTGAAACATTCTGTGAATAAATGTTTGCTACATACACTTCTTTCTTGCTTATATTACAGGTATTTTTTCAATTATTTAAAAAGTGTTTAAACAAATAAAATTTCTGGATTTCTATTTTCAGCTTTTTTGTATTGTTTTTTTTTACCAAAGTCATCCTTGTGGTATCACTATAGAGTTCCGTAGAGTTCACTGTAGATTTAGTTCACTGTTCAATAAAAATTGAAAGTTTTTTTAAAAATTCAGAGATTTTCAAACGTACTTTGCTAAAATGAGGTGCCGATGGAAGGATTGAAACTAGTTGTTACAAGAGTTAATCAGTCTGTGCAGAAAGGTTTTTTTAATTGAGATTTCCTGTTTGTGGAAAGTTTTTAATTGTTTAACTCTGGGTACTGCATACCTTTATGGTAGTTTAGCTAAAGTAACTTTTTACTGCATAATCTAGAGGGCAAGATTAGCGGCCGCCACTTGCCTATCAATAAAATAAAGTGGTCACCAATAATACAATACCAATAATAAAATTAAATTGTATAAGAATTACAACAAAATTTTAAAAAACATAGCACTAATTGAAGAATAAAATTTACATGGAAAAACAGAAATTGAAATAGGCAAATTAAATGTAAAAAATAGAAAAAAACTTTAAAAATGAACAATGAAAGAATGCAAGTAATAAAGCTAAGAGCAGCAGTTGCAGAAATTCTACACTTAATATTTTATGTTTAATTAAGAGGCTTAATTTTCTAAAGTTAGTGATTATATTTCATTCTGATACAGAAGCTTGAAATGGATTATGAGAAAACTGGTCTAAAAAAGTATCATATATTCTTTTTCATTTTTTTAAAAATTATTTTCTTTAAAACATGATATGTCATAATAATAATATATCATATGTTTTTATAACAATATCTTATAATATTTTTTTTTTTTTTAAACTAAGAATAAATTTTTTTGTAACAATTCAGAAGCTAATCATTATTAAGGTAAACGCAAAAACTGGTCAGTGCAAATAAAAAGTGGGCATTGTAACGTAACAGTGTGTGACAACTGAGCTAAAAGCATCAATTCCTCGAGAAGTAATGCTAAAATGATGTTGCTTGAGACACACACACGAGAAGTGATGTTCTTTTTTGTGTTGTTGAGAAAGAGTTTTTTTCTGAGAAGAGATATTTCGTATGGGTAATATTTTGTGATTTTTCGTGTGAATGTTTAAATAAATTGTTTGGTACAACTCGCGTCTTATTTCTGGTTGTTGTGACACAACAGCATCAAAAAATTTACTTCTAATAGCCACTAGATAAATTTCCTTGTCTTGCTCTTTTGGTTAATCTCACATAATAAATGAGATCATTGAAGAAATTTATATGGTATATTACCTTTTAAAAGTAAAGTTAATTTAAGCATTTTTAAAACAAGCCATCTTAAAACATGAACAAATACATTTTAGACAGAATGAAAGGATATTTGTATTTAAAAAAAAAAAAAGAAAAAAAAACTAGGCTTGATAATAAATAAAATGCAGTTTCCTTTTTGTACTTGCTACATTCACAAATTCTAACTTCACTACAATGAAAACAGTTTTATTACTTTTTATCAAATGCCAAAAAGTAACAATAAAATACATTACTATATATGATTGACTTTTAGATTGTACTATTTAAAATAATACAAATAACAATAGGAAGTTTAAAAAAAAGTTTAACTTTTAATGAAGAATTAAATCTTATTTTCATTAATAAATATATTTTTTTTATAACCCTGCATGCTTGAAGTACTAACAACAAACAGAAGTGATTCTTGAAATCTCTTTATTTTTATCTAAAAAGAGTTTTTTACAATAGTTCACCTTTTCTTTTTGTTGAAAATGCAAAAAATTAATAATAATAAATAAAATTAAAATAATAATTGATTTTGAACACTGTCCCAATGAATAGAAAATTGGAATAAATTTTAAAATACTGTGGCTTCAATGGAACATTACATATTTACCATTTCACTGTAATGAGGGTTATACATAGTATAAATGTATGCTTATAAAACATCATTGAACTCAAATATGCATCATATATTTCAATTTAAATTCGTAAAGATAACTTACACACTCTTCTGAGTCTAAAAATGCAGGAGGTGGTGGTGAAGATGAAGATCCAAATACAGATCGAGCGTGACTCTAGATAATAATAAACTCTTTCAGTAAAATAAATGAAAAAAGATCTCATTCATATTTTGTGACATATTCATTTTCAAAATGAATCAGGTGAAATAAATTAATAAATTATATTACATATCTACTATTATATATGTTATGGTGTTCATGGTAGAGTGTTTTGGCACAAAGGAATTCAAGCAGAGTGAAAAGAATACGTTCTTTACTAAGACATGTTAAACTAGAGAGAGGGTATCAAAATTACCCTAAAATTGATGTGCTTCAGCTTTCTGCGAAGTAAAGTTTCATGAGTTTCTCATTCATCTTTTAACACACTGACGGTTCTGCACGTAAAAAGTCGCATTTTAACCTGCAGTCTTCTCTGCATAGCAAAACCGGATTTTCCATGTTAATAGATAGTCGAATAGTTTATAGGGGAGAAACATTCTCCCAAATTTACCCATTTGCTTAACCGCCAGTGGGTTAAGTCTTATGCAAAAATGAGAAACATTATTAATTATAATAGGTCTATAAAATAATCAGAATCTCAAACTTTCTAGACACTAGGTAGATGATCAATTGTGAATAATTAACGCCAGAGGTCCTCATGACTTACAGGTATGCATTACTTTTTTTTTCTGTGAATCCTGGGAGGTTTACTTTCAAGTAGGTGTTAACTACGTTTCCTATCAAGTGATAGGTGGGTGTTAGGGGATGTAAACCTTATAATTGAAACCAACTGAGGACTACAATTTCCTATTCGAGTTCAATACCATATGTCTAACTTGAATATTTGCGGGAATAGGAAAATTATATTCATTTATCTGTGGCTACATCTAGAATTATGTATTTATATCAAACTTTTTTTATATATTCCATTTTATAGAAAAATATTTTTTAAATTTTAAATAAATATCCTTTAAAATAGTTATTATAGATTATTTATTTATTTCTATATTTTTGAAAATAATTTAAAAACAATTTATGGTGTTAAACTTCAGTATTAGGGTACCCTAACTGTAAATGGACAATTTTTTCAGTCCCAAGAATGTCCGGTTAATCGAGGTTTCACTGTATATGTATACACATATTCCAATAATAAAATTTATGTTTTGTTTCTAAAGAAATTCACCACAATTTTTTTTTAAAATTTTAAAATGTTATTCCTCACTAAATACATTATAAAAGAATGCATCAAATATGCCTAATTAAATGTACTACACAAGATATACAAAAATAATTTACAATAGACACTATAAAAAATTTAATATTTCATGAATAAACATTCTATTTACCAATGAATGACAATTACGAGCAATTGTCATTATAGCAGGATCATCTAAATCATCCTCTAAACCAAGTTGAGAAATGCTTTTTGATACAATTTCCTAAAAAATTAAATTTCATAAAGAATTATAATGATTGTCAATATTCTTACACAATTATAAAAATATTTAAACATTCTAGAAGTGTTTTAAAAACACTAAAAAGACTGAAAATTGCTTTATTCCATAACTAGACAACAGGAAACGGCCAGTGTGACCTTCCCATGATTTTTTGAGCATAGATCTAAAATATTTTTGCCTAAAATGTATAAATAGGATAATAAAAAAAACCTATAAAACTAAACTTAACTAATAACCTATAAAAAAATAACTTCAGATATAGTAGAGGTTGGATCATTAGAAATGCATGGGATTCTTTTTCTATTTGGATAATGAAAATTTCTGATTAAGGGAACCTTAAAACTTTTTCAATTATAACAAAACTTTCTATGCTGGAAAAATTGAGTTTCTACATTTTAAAAAACCATGATTATAGATAACAAAACAATAAACAAACACGTCTTTTCAATCAATATATTTTCTTAACAACAATCAATACACCACACTTTATCTGAAACATATTTTCCAATAACTTTACAATCCATGATTTCTTTAATCAACTAACAGTTTTGCAAAAGTTCTCAATTTTTAAAACTTCAAAGGTTGGAAAAAGGAGGAAATTTCCTGAATTGTCATAAAAAAATCGCTACAAAATTCGTGGTTCAGGATAAAGATATCTAGTTTCAATCCTTAAAAATTTGCTTTTTCATTTCTCTTTCAGAACATAAATTAACGAGTTTTAGAACTTAACAAATATGTGAAAAACAATTTCTAATATTGTACAGTAAAAAAATCAGATTTTAGACTATTCTTTATTAAATCTATTCAGACTTCTCCCAAATAAAACTTAGTTGAAAAATACTTCTTCAAATACTTTGCCAAGTATTTTATTTGGCCCACCGAATATTCGGCAAAAGGGCCGAATACTGAACAGGTCAAATATTCATTACATACTTAATGAAAAATCATAAAATTGTGCTGCTTTAAGTTAATTATTTTTTGAATTACTTAACAACAAAACACTAGAAGGGGTAGTTGCTTTCCTGTCTTTCTAGTGCTAAAGTAAACTTCATGGAATATCCTTTCTTTTCACTAAGGAATCTATGATTAATTGGACACTCAATAAATTTTGAGCATTTAGAAAAAAACAAAAATTCCTTTATAATGCCATTAAAAAAAGATTACAGTCGTATGAAAAGTCCTGGTTACGCCGAGTAGAAGTAAAAACCTTTCTATAACGAAGCTATAATAATGACTGTAAATTATGATCATTTGTTCTTATCAATTTTTCAACCATATGACCATACAACCATACAATCCCATCAATCCATAAGCATTTTTAGAAGGGCATTATTTGACGTTACATCCTGTCCGCCCTTTGATCCTTATAAGTATGCCCTCTTTGTAAAAATAAGCTATCATTCCTTAAAAACACCATTTTTTTTATTCGTATTCCATTTAAAAAAATAAGTAATTCACAGTTTAAGTAAAAATTACACACTGTAAAATTACATGTGTTTATAGGTATAATTCTTATTCAAATATTTACTTTGTTAGGGTTATTCTCAACTGGTTTAATTTTTTATAGGTTTTTCGTTCTTTGAATTTTTAAATGATTTTAAAATAATTTTTAAATACCTTCTTTTTTTAAAAAAATGCATCTTCAGATGTTCTCATAATTTTCAGTTTAAATTATGCAACAAAAGCTTTTAATTTGTTTATCAATTAATCTTTTTTTTTTCTTTTTTGTTTTTCTGGGGAAAAAAAATAATGCACAAGGATGGTCTTTTAGCATGTTTTAAATTATTTTTTATAAACAATAAATTTTTCTCTCTTTTATTAAAGAGTGAGAATTACTATTTGAAATATACACATAAAATAGTACAAGAAGGCAATTTAAAAATTGAGGATCAAATTCAATTATTAGATACTGATCAACATCAATTACACATTTTGATACAATAAAAACATTACACATTTATAATTGATGGTATATTTATTTTTTGTTGTAATAAAAACTAAATGCACTTACATTTTGACTGTCTTCATGCTCCAAAAGTGAATCATTGAAAGTAGATGTTGAACTAAGATTCTTGTGTTTAATGAGCTCAGACAATTTTTCATGAGCCTCTTCCCAATCATCTTAAAATAAAAATAAAATTGTAAATACTAAGTATTTGATTCATACTATTTTGAAAAAATATTTAAAAGAATAGTACTCGAATAATAAAATTAGACATTTTTATAAGAGAAAAAATCTAATACCAATATAAAAATTCCAATATTAACCAGATTTAAGTTTAAAAAATCATGTTCTAACTCTTGAATGTTTAAAATACTACATTAAAAATTTTAAAAGGCAAATACATTCAACTTCCACTTATAAGTCATTAAATAGTATCTTCATACCATTTGCAGCATGGCCAAAAGTTTCATCATTCAAAGCATCATATTCATCTTCAATACCATCACTTAAAAGCTCTTCTTCCAGAGTATGCCGTCCAATCACCTTAATGACAATAAAAGAAAAAAAAAGGTTTCATTAAGTCTCAATTGCCTGTCAAGTCAATGTACTAAAATAAATTTATAAATTAAATACGAAAAATAAAACTAGAGAATTTCTAGAAACAAAAACCAAAGAAGAAAAAAAGAACTAATATGATTTTTAACTTAGCATCTTTCATGGTGCAACAGCCCAAGGTAGGCCGTGGCTTGAGCCTTATTGGTGCTTGAAACTTATTGTTTCTAATTTCATTATGGATAGATCTTTTGTGACATCTAGTCATCTCTTCCCGAGTCTTTAGTTCATAGGTATCCTAGTTCACCCTAAGCATTTTTAGAAGACTCCCCCCCCCCTGCTGGCCCTTTCACAGAGGTAAATGCACTCTTTTAGCACTTTTAGCAAAAATGTTGTCCCTTTTTTATTTAAAGAAAAAAATGCTTTTTCTTATTTTAAGAAAAGAGATAGCAGTAGCAGAAACCTAGAACTTCCAATTACCATAACTAGTAGAAGTTATTTTGAGGCTAAGTCAGCATAAAATACTATTATTTTTCATATTTATTTGAGTATTTTTAATTCTGTTTTGAAGGTCACTAATCTAGTTAGATATAACTAATATATTTAGCAAGATTAGTGCTTTAAAAAACAGAAGGTGTCCTTGTTTTTAAAAAAGCATCTTATTTTTTTGACAAATCTCTGGGTTCCAAATTTAAGATTTTTCTAAGCCCCCATTTTTCTTTACTCATTCTATATAACTTAACTATTCCAAGCATCTCTACTTTACGAATCAATGTCTAATTAAATGGATAAATTCATTGTTTCTTACCCTCCACTGTGAATAATTTATATGAATCAGTCTAAAAAGCAGGGTTAGTTGGTTGGTTTAAACAAATGTGATTAAAACCAAACTGTTTTTTAAAAAGAAAATATCTTTTTAATAATTTAATTTTCCATTATTTAAAAATATACTTGTAGTTTAAAGATATTCAAAAGAAGAAAAAAATAGTAAATTTTTCCTTGAAAATCTTTTTAATTTTGAATTCAACTAATGAGAGACTGCTACTTTACACAAAAATTAATATAATAGTTAAAAATATTTATGTATGACTGGGCTTCTGCAAAAATTTATAGAAAATTACAATAAGCAAATTTATAAAAATTGCATCAACAGACCATCAACTACTTCATGTTTGAATAGTATTCAATAATTGTTTATGTTAACTTGAAAGTTTAAAAAAAAAAAAAAAAAAAAAGAACAGAAAAGCAAAGANTACATTTTTGAAGATCTTGCGAACTAATACGTTTTAAGTAATGCAAAAACAATATACAACTTCTACATTATTTCATTTACTGCCGCATTATAAACACATTGTTGTGCTTTATAAGCTTCATTGTGTTAAAAAATTGACAAAAAATTATTTTATTCTTTATCTATTATTAGTTTGCGGATACTAAAACATACATTTAACATTTTATAAACTCATATACCATGCAGCTATTTTGACATTTTCAGTTCCATTTGTTACTCCCTCATTTTTAAATATTTTTTATTTTAAAAAGATATACCTGAAATTTTTAATGCTTAAATTTTAAAATGTGTATAAATATGATTTAAAAAAAAAAAAATAAATAAATTTTGCTGCAGTTACTTATGATGCCACTTGCCAATACCAGCAAGCCTGCTTGAAATCTAATAAATTTTTAGGCAAGGGGTGCTTTCCAGTAGCTCGAAATTATGGCCAAGAATACACAACTTGCAGTTCGTTTTGGCAGGAAGGATGCAATTTTTATTCAGTTTAGTTATTTTAAGGATATTGTTCTGTTTTCCATGAAAAAATTTCCATATAAAGGCAGAAACCAGTGTGAAAACTCATCTACTTATTTAACTATGCATACTAAGTTGTACGATTATGTTATTTAAACAATTTTTTAATTGTATAAAATGTCTGGTATGTTATTTCCCTCTTACCATCCTCCCCTTTAATAAATATAATTTTTTGTTCATACAACAATCAACTAAGCCTAACCATATACACGCTTTACCTAGCTTCAAAAAACAGTTCATAATAAATAGAATTTTGAAATTTATTCTCACATTATGTAGATCTGCTCTTTAGATATCCCTTTATCAATTTGGACTAAAATTAATAGTTTCTGCCAGTTTTTAATGATATTAGAAGAAAATTCAACAATAGCTTACTATATAACAATATGTATCCTAGGTTGATTATTAGCAGAGAGTTTGTAAACATTAAATCTGTCAGTTTCTAAAACAGAAATAAAAATGCTTGCCATAGTCCCAGTAAATGTCTCTATAACTATTAAACAAATCATCTCAATTTAAAATGAAGAACAGGGTGCATAGCCAAATTTTTCACCAAAAAATAAGCACCTTTTAAGCACTGAAAAATATTTGTAAGCACTTTGAAAAATATCCTAATTAGACATGGTTGGCAAGTTTTTGACAATTGATGGTTTTATCCGGTTTTATTTACAGTGACCAAGACGATGGCACGTCACAGACAATGATATTAACAAGAGAAATGAAATTTTCTATCACTAATAGAAGAAAAAAATTGACAATGTTTAGTTGGTCCCCGTAATCAGCAAAAATTCAAGAGGTTTTTCAATTCTAAAGTCTGAAACTGAGAATATCTTGCAAAATGCAGCAGGGTTGCACATGAGAGTAAAAAATCCTTACCACTAAATCCAGCTCAGTATACGCAAGTGCGGACCTGCAAGTATTTCATCAAACAAGTAAAACAAATGGTGTTTTCATACACTACAGACCGGTGGTACGCCAACATAGATCGGGGTTGAATTATTTGCAAAAACGTTAGATAGAACAATGCCTTTTTGCATAATTTGTGGCGAAAATCAATACGGTAAAGAAAAATATCACATCTCTTCGGAAAAGGGAAAATTAAGCACTTTTTAAAAACATCTAAGGAATAAAACACATGAAAGGTCTTTCAAAAAAACAAACATCAAAAATAAGCACCTTTAAGCACTTTATAAAAATTTTACGCACCCTGAAAAAAATAGATGTTTTTTCAACAAATACATTCCACACTTTTTCAAATGCATTCCACACTTAAAAATAAAATAAAAAAGAAACAATAATAAAAAGTGTAAAGGAAAATACATAATCATTGTGTCATTAGCATACAACCACAAATTTACAAATATAACTAAATACAAAATAACTTATAAAGAAGTAAATCAATAATACATAGAACTACCACATGTACATTGAGTTTTAAAATATATTAGCTATTGAAAGACTAGGCACAAAAAGAAATAACAGATTTTTACAATTAATAGATTCTAACTGTAACAAAAAGTACGAGCACTTAGTTAATAAGTTTTTGACTACTTACATTGATATTTGACGGAATATCCGTATTGAAGCCAAAAAAGTCGCCCATAATATTCCTTTCTGAATGCGAAATCTTGTAAATCACATCAGAAAAACATAATTAGCCAGTCTCTTTCCATAAAAGAGTTTTCATTTATAAATAGTAACATTAATGTTCACTATGTAACTAGCAATCAGTCATCTATTTATGTGTAACACTAAGCCTAAATTACAATAAATATCCCAATCTGTACTCAATTTTAACTATCTGTATCAATAATAGAAACACTAAATTTGTAAAAACATTGACATTTATGCTAAATTGACAATATTTCTCTACCTAAACCACATTTCTAAACAAACTCACATGATAATCCATGAACGTCACGAAAGTGATGCCAAAATTTTGCAATCTAAAATTTAACAACATTCGAGAATTATAAGATCTGCCAAAGGAATAAATCTAAATTTTAGTGGCCCTCGAAATTTTTTTGCATTTTCTGCTCAAATTTGTTTCTAAAAACTCTTAAAATAAAAAGTAGGATCATAAAAATTTTATATTGAACCAGAATTCATTGCTTGATTATTAATTTATATCATTCGGATTATTTCTATCTTTATCGAAACTATTCATAATCGAAATCGTAGGTCATCCAGGTAAACAAGAAATTAGAAAATAAATTTTGAAATCATAGCTGCTTTGCTGGTATTTTTAGCTAACTTTAATTAATTGAGCGAAATTAGTAAAGTTTAATTAGAATCATGAGGACAAGTTTGCTTCGACTTTGCCCGTATCGAAAGTTAGTTTATTTTCTTTCTTACTAATTTGTTGAATTTCTCATTTAATTGCACTTTATTTTTATAATTTTATGTTACTGATTTCCTATGAATTATTCAGAGTAAAATTATCAGTAAAGGTTTACAATAGGTGTCCATTTTATTTTGGCAATTTTATACCATTTAGATACTACTATTTATTTAGATGTTACTTTAATCTTAGATTTATCTCATCCATGTTCATTACATCTGCTATCACATTTTGAGATCGAATGAATGAATTAAAAGGCGAGAGGTAGCATACCTAACCAACAACCAGTTCAGGTGACGCTTCTTCTTTCTGTCGCTTTGCTTCTTACATGCACACACTGAATTTTAGTATATGTGATCAAGTTCTTACTAATATTCAGTGTGTGCTGCATATGATCAAATACTGCTGTTCTGCTAAATTTGAGTATGTTTCTCTCCCTGTAAATTGTTTCTCCGTTCTAGCACCTTATGCTGAGCAGTCTCCCTTGTTACGAAATCAGATTACGAGCTAGACTTTTCCTGTCTAAATTTTTTAACCCTCCCTTGTCTTGAGGAGGTATTACTCTTACCCATCCCCGGACAAACCTCTACATGTTTTATTTCTTTTTTTTTCCAAATTTTTTTGCTGTTTAAAATCAATTTGGCTGTTTAAAATCAATCATTGGCTTGAAATTCCTTGAGTCTGTGGGAGATTATTTTTAGACTATGTCAACCTTCATCTATCAAAAGGTACCTCTTGATGGATTCAAGTTAACATGTCTTATGTAGTATTGATTTGGTATTTAATATTTGTAGTGGTAGTTACGCCACATTACTCCCCTTCCAGAATTGTATCTGTGATAGAATTCGATGAACAATTACCACTAGTTGATTCATGCTGTTTATTTATTAACTTCAATTTTTGCTCATTATATTTTTTTCTTTCTTCCAAGCGTTTCGCTCGTTATTTTTTTTTTTTTTTAATTTTTTTTTAATAGCTTTTCGCTCTTTTTTCCCATCATTTTTTTTATAGCTTTTCGCTATTATTATTTTTTTGTTTATAGCATTTCGCTCATTATTATTTATTAATCCGGAGACTTTATTTACTTCACCGGATTTCATTTTTTTTGAGCAGTTTATATTAAGCAAATCAACTGTTTAATGTGGATTCATTCATCAATATTGACAATTTCTTATCACGTCCGGGTCACCAGTGAGGGAAANTGTTTCTCTCCCTGTAAATTGTTTCTCCGTTCTAGCACCTTATGCTGAACAATTTCCCTTGTTACGAAATCAGATTACGAGCTAGACTTCTCCTGTCTATATTTTTTAACCCTCCCTTGTCTTGAGGAGGTATTACTTGTACCCATCCCCGGACAAACCTCTACATGTTTTATTTCTTTTTTTTCCAAATTTTTTTGCTGTTTAAAATCAATTTGGCGCCTTGGCTTGAAATTCCTTGAGTCCACTCCCTGCCACCTGTTCTACTTGGAATATGTATGGCACTGAAAGGAGATTTAGGATTTTCTTCAGAATAACCTATGGCTCCCCAATATGCCTGTCAGAAGAATTCTTTTCATCGTCTTCTACCATCAGCTATCCTGACCTAGAAAAAGACAACTATACATGGTAGTAAAACAATCTTCATATCCGAACAACTGAATAGTTGTTCTTGCATAATTATTCTCAACGCCCACAACAACCAACTAACTTAAGCCCAATTGTTATCAAGTGACGTACAGACAAATATTTTATCATAGATTTAAATTAAACTATCAAATGGGTTGCCATGAATCGTTCAAAACCCTGCTTTCTCATGCAAGATGAAACAGTGCTTTCAAAGCCATACTCATACATTAGCCCAGTGTTTCCCAAACTTATGACTTTTGTGTACCCCTTCTAAATTTTTCGTAATGCTGTGTACCACTAATTAAAGAATGAAAGTATTTTTTACTATAAAAAATTGCACAAAAGTCAATAATCACAACTGGCTGTTGACGCCATTCATTATTAACTGTTAAATGTGCAAAAAATAGCCAATAGAAAAATATGCAATCGTAAATTTTCATGGCTAGCTTTGTTTTTAGATTAAATTTTTTGAAATTTTCGTTTGTTGCAAGATATTTTGCATAAGAACGCGTACCCCCTTTAAACTGTTCTCGTACCCCTGGGGGTATGCGTACCACACTTTGGGAAACACTGCATTAGCCGTATGGAGGGGGAGATTTCCGTATCCTGATCTGTGGCGGAATAATCGCCAAGTCTTGGAAACTTACAAGCAGCTGCCCACGAGAAACTTAAAAAAACATCACAGAAAGGGACCAACTCGAAAGGTATAACTCGTAACCACCCCTAGGCGAACATCTACATGTTCTTTTTAAAAAGAGATTTGCAAGTTTAAAATCTATTTGGCAACTTGGCGATTGTAATTGGCGCAACAGATCGTGATACGGAAATATCCCCGTATGGAGTATCTTCTGGTTATTCCTTTGGAGAATCATCCCATGCCACCACTTTACCTCAAAAGAGACTTCTGAAACTGATCTTGATCCACAAGAACGAGTAAAAGGGTCAGGTTCTCATGCAAACTGGAATATTATGAACTATCATCCTTTTCACTGGAAAGGAAGTGTGTAGTGCTACCTATCGGATTTTATTTTGTGTCCTCTATTTTCATTTTCTTTACTCAAAGTTTATTACTAACAGGCTGGCAATGTTGCTTTTAGGTTCTGTACCACTGTTTTAGAAAAAACTGTTTATCAAAAATAAAAGAACTAAATTATTAGAAACAAAAAGTATCTTCGACTCCAATTATCTAGAATAACTCTAGTCCACTTTACACTTACTTGAACCCCTAAACACTTAAGTTCCCATCTCTGTGATGATTTTTTGTTTTCTTGCAAGGCACTGCCTGAAAGTCATCAAAACTTACAGATTATTTGGGCTTAGATTGCGATTCAGAAATCTTCTGTTATTATAAAATATCCTCTCTTCTAGCAGCCTAGTGTTTTCATTTTTTTTTTTAATTTCTATCTAGAAATTTGTACCCACAAAAGTTAATATACAGTGAAACCTCCAAGAAAGACCACCTCTGTGTAATGACATCCCCTATTTGCGACCATTTTTAAAAGGCACAAAATTTTTTTCATAGACTTTGTGTTTCAGAAAACCATCAGGAGAAACCACCAAAATCTCCCCCACTGACCGGGCAAATTTCTGCACCAAATGCGTGATATGTCCAATAAGGAAATGCAAAAAAAGTATCAAAATAAAAAATATTGACTAAACAACTAAGTAGATTCAAATATATTCAAAATATTTATGAGTGGCTCTTAGTTAGAGGTTCTTGACAATATCTGAAAGTGATCCACTACCTCATGTTGCAGTCAGTGTGCGTTAAAGAGGCGGCTTTAAATGATTTATTTTTAGAGTTGAAAGAAGAATCAATTAGAAAAAGAAGTTATTTTAGGAAAAACTATGCATTTTAAACAAACAAACCTTTTCTCATTTTTTAAAGCTAACTAATTTTTATGATATAAAAATTAAATGCAAATTTAAACAAAAAAAAACATAATTGTTTATGTTTATTTATTAAAAATAGTTCTATCATTCATAATTGATAATTTTATTTTTGCACATAGTTATATCAGTAAAAGTCATTTTTATTGAAGCTAAATTTTATTCGTTGAGCCGTTTTTCCTGACGCTAACATTAAAATTGCTTGCTAAAAGTCATGTACTTTCGATAACATTTTGAATTCAATGAAAGTAACCCCTAAGAATGAACAACCTCCATTAATGACCATTAATTTGTGGAACAAAGTGGTAGCTCCCAAGAGGTTTCATTGTAATTGACTGATACAGAAACCTTCCTCAATGGCAAGTCGTCAGTTTCTTATTTTGCCTGTCTAATACGGATGAATAAAACTAAATTGATTTAGTTTGCCCTTTTCATGATCCATGTCTTACTTTCATGGCTGATTCAATTCAGCCACTGTTTGTGCCTCACAAATCCAGACATACATTTTAAGAATCTTTTTATTAGATATTGTTTTCAGACATAAATTCTGTTTTATTAACACACACTTAATGAGAAAAAAAAACTTAACTTTGGAGAATATCAGCTGGATTTGCATTTTATTGTATAATACTATGAAACATTATACGAAATAACAATTTTTCGTTCCATTTTGCGATTTCTTATTAAAATGTATTTTAAAAGGCTTATATTTTACTACAAAATTTGTAAAACTACGAAACAGAATGTAATATTTTAAAGATTGGTATAATCTATTTTTGTCAAAATATCTAAGCGTCTACAATGCACTACTACTTTTAATAAAGCTATTAGGTATCGCATTTTATTGTTTATTTTTATGGAATGCACAGCAGAACCGTGTCCCGCAGTGGACTGATCGTTAAGACACGGTTCCCAGCAGATCACCGAAGTCGAGCATCACTGGCTGCGGTCAGTGTGCGGGTGGGTGACCACTTGGATCAGTCTGCGTAGGGACCGAGGGTGTGCGGTATTGATCCTTGTTAAACTGTGTTACCTTAAGGTGCTCGACTTCGCGCGCAGGTCGTCGGGCTACCGAAGCGGGGGTGCCATCCCCTCCACAGAGGATCAAAATTGTGATGGCATGTCTTCGGATCATCCTCCGGGATGTTTCCCAGACCGCCGCCAATAGTCTATTGTGCAGTTCTAGTGCGACGTAAATTGACAACAACACATCAGAACCGTATTTCCCTTAAATTTAAAAAGGTTATGACCATTTAAAAGCTTGGGTGTATTTCTAATCTAGTGATAAAGTGTTAATTTTTACAGTATTCTTTTCATTTAACTTTTGTTAAAGGTTGCTCAAAAATACCAAAATCTCTCTTTTTAAAGCACAATTGACGTTGACTACTTTTCCATGACCTTAAAGTTGTGATTTTATTTGTAGAATTTTTTAAAGAAAGGATAATTTTAAAAAGTTATGGTATTTCCTTAAGTTTGCTGCTGGAAATGGTCATTACGTTTCTTAATATATTTCTTTACTTATTTCCAGATACATCAAACAAAGAGAACGTGATTTCGAAGTTGAATGTAAACATGCTGCTAAACTTCTCATACCTTTTTACGGTTGTGTGTGGGGCGTTGGTTATCATATAAAAAGAAAATATGTACTCCTCTAAATTATGTTATAAAATCATCATAGAAATCTTGATAATTACAGCATGATCTCAATAAAGAAGTTTTAAATTATAATGATTAAAAATTAAACTTTTTGATTTGGAAGTTTTCGTACTACGTACGCAAATTAAATTGAACTTCATAAGTGAACATATATTAATTTCAATCGACTAATTTAATATACTAAAAATTATTTTTGTATAAAATTGTTTTAAATAATGGAGTAATGTGTTATTTTTCTAACTCAACATTTAAAAGCTGAAAGATTTCTTTCAGACTGAAAAATAGCAAATTGAAACACGATTTTACTTTAGAAAAACAATCAAAAATTATATTTTTACATGTAGGTTTTTTATAAATACAAATAAAACTATTTTTGTGTATTCATATTTAGTGAAGGCATTTTTGGCATAAATACTCCACCCTGCTATAATTGAAGAGAGACTTTCAGTTTTTGTTCAGTTCAATTTCAAGTTTCTCCAGAAATACTTAAATATTATTATTTTATTAACTTGAGAAATGTTTAGGTCAGAAATACTTATACTTAACAATAAAGTTAAAGGCTTTCAGAAGTTTGAGTTAGCGGCATTAAATTATGAACGAAAAAAAGTGTTTTTGAGCACCAGAAGTCCGAAAATGATATTATATAGCAATAAACTTGTATACTGCCGTGCAATATAAAAAAATTAACGTAAGTAATAAAAAATTCAAGATAGAAATTTTTATATTTTTAGTAAGTTTGTATTTATTGCACGTTATTTACTGCTAAAGATTTTTGGAATTCTATTTTAGCCTTTGCAACATTATCAATAGAAAGAAAATAGTTGTCAAGCCAAATTTTCGTGAAATCAATCTTGAGGCATTGCGTTGTTTTTTCAACAGCGCGGCAGTATAGATTATTTTAGTCATAAGAACTACTCGAGTCTTTGGAAATAACAATAAGTTCTGACGTGATCAGGGTATTTTTTGTTTCTCAGAAGTTGAAAGCATTAAACTTTTTAAAAAATTAAATTGATGACCAAAAAAAAAAAACACACTATATCTGCTTATTCTTGTGTAAAATGTCTTTCTGAATTTTAATACGACCTCCATTTTCTAGGTACTCCCGTCTTAAGTTGAACGCCTCTCTTCACTTCTCGATAATTTGATAGACAATATTTTAATCTGGCCGAGAGTGAGAAATTAATTTTAACGGATAATTTTCTTATGAGGAACTAGAGAGCGGAAAAGTTCTAAAACATGAACAATTGAAGCAAAGATAAAGATTTGGAAGAGGGATTTAGCTCGTTAAATTGTAATAAGAAATAAATAAATTCATGCATTCAGGGCTAAGCTAAACTAATCCTTCCATCCCTTATGAGAATCTAGAAGCTGTAGCAAAAAAGTTTGAAAATTCACTGTACGCTGATTTCCTTTCTTCCCTGTTTACCCACTGTTAGTTTAAATTGTTTTTCATTCATAGTTGTTGTTTGCGGGGAAGAGAGTGGGTACCTTTACTATTAGAAATCTCTAAAAGTCCCCCTCACTATTAATAAGCGAATAAAGAAAATTTTCATGAATCATCATCGATTTAAATTCATCTAAGTTAAAAACAAGTAAGAAATGAAGAAAATAATTATTCATTTGCGTGTATTTAACAGGTCTAAAAACTTTTTTTTTTTTTTTGTAAATTTTAGAGAAGTATTTTGACTGTGCATAGTGCAGCTTCGAGAACTCCTCCAGACTGAAAGTCTGGTGCTGTCTGCTGCTATGGTAACAAGCGAGAGCACATTGCTAATGGGGGTGAAATGGAGGAAAGAAGGTGTCGATTGGTTTACTCACGGTGACTTAAGACAAAACTATAAAGCCCACACCCCTATTCGAAGTGACCTTTCCTCGTAACCATAGAAGCCGCCAAGACGCGAGACAAGTGCCTGGAGGAGTTCTCCTGAGAACCGCACTATACATTATATTTTGTCCCCCTCAAAAATTGGACGCTTAAGATGACCCTGTTCTAAATATTTATGTTATTTAAGAGTGTTTGGGGGAAAGGGGGGGGGACGAAAGGTGTGGAAATTAAATTAAACAATTTCGATGGAAAGAAACAACAGGAAGACGGTTTATTTTTTTACAATTTAATAGTTCAAATACCCTAAAATCATCCTTCTTGCTACAAAAATTTACGTTAACTTTTTACGTCTCTAATTTCCAAAATAAATTAACGGTTTAAAATTATTTACGCTTCTTTCAACTTAACTTCATAACAATATGTGATAATCAAAAAGTTATGAACATAAGGGTTATGAGGAAAACTGGGTCACTTCAGGAGGCCATTTTACATTTGAACCAGCAGAATAGTACCGAGACTTTCAAACAAATTTTTGAGTTTTTTTTTTTATTGTAATGTACCGTTTTTTCAGGGTTATATTTATTGATTTTGCGTGTTTTGAGAAAGCACAAAATTTTTTAACCAGGGAGATATGTTTTACCACAATATCATTTCTTAACAACAATAGTATCGCGGATTACCCTATATTTAGACATGAAAAGCGTTTTGGGTTCTAATATTTAATAACATTATAATTTTATTGGCTAACATTAGTATTACATAAATAAAAAAAGAGAAAGTCTACATCAACATAATATTAATTGTAGATAACTTAATAATTTTTTAAAGAAATTATGTTGTATTTCTGGTGTTCGGAGCAGACTTATAATTTTGCATGTATTTTATCTTTTTTTTTTTATTTAGATTAATTGAACTTATTTGGTAAATAAGAAAATTTTTTAGCTAATGCAATTGTAGGAATAGGTTATGTTATTTTAGTGTCACACATTCTGATTTTAATATTTTTGTTTATAATATATATTTTATTTTTTACTTTTACATAAATAAAGGACGAAATTTGCTCAAATATGACTGAGCTATAAGCGTTTAATTTCCTTTATCAATTTCCTTCAGTTTCAGAATCTCCGTTGTTAAAAACAAAATGTGTACTACTTACAAATGTTAACTACTTTGTGACACTAAGTAGTTAATTGTTGCCAACGCAGACTCCGAAATATTTCTCGATTTGAAAACAACGTAATAGTAATATTATTAAGAAGTAATAACTAAGAAGTTTATTCTGATAAAATTTATAATGTATTATTAACAATTTTCAATAACACTATTAGGAAATGCAGATCTTTATGATCTTATTTTAATTTCTCACACTTTATTAATATTGCGGTATTTTGATGGAATGCTCTTTTTTTAAAAAAAAATCTAGGTTCATTGTAAAAATAAGAATTTAGTTGTTGCAATACATTATTGACTGTTATTTGTTCTTCTTTTTCAGATACTTTTTTGACAAAGAGAAAGAACTGGACAAAGGTGCAAAATCGACGTTTTCTATGATTATTGGATGTTTGTTTTTAGGTGGTTTCGCCTACATCCAATTGAAGAGGGAAGCTGATCCTACTCCAAGGAAAAGATTTTGAGAAATATTTATTTTTTAATTATATGCTGTGTTATGTACTGCTCGGAACCATCTACTATATTATTTGCAACAAATTAATTATTGTCACGGGCAGTAAATAGATTATAATTTTAAGTTACATTTTGTAATGATTTGTAAATGAATAAATATGTTTATGTAGTATTTTGTGTTTTCTTATTGCGCAAGATATAACATTTGAGTTAACTTAAAAAAAAGAAAGCAAATATAGTTCCATATAAACACACTATAGTTTCGGTTCTGTAAGGATGAACTTTCTTCATTGTTAAAGAAAACGAAAAAGTTTGACGCTGTAAGTTCCATTTCGTTTTTTGTTTGGATACTGAAGAAGATTATTTGACGACTGATGGGAAAATAAAAATTATTGACATTTGACTTTCAAAATTATTAATGAAAAATGCTTTAAAAAAATTCATTTGAATATTAGTTACTGTCTTTTCTAAAATAAATGTTGCAGAATTATTTGTTTTTGACATTCTCAATGATAGAATTCTATCGGACGGCACGTCAAGAATTTAAAATTAAGTTTTCCGTACCGATTCTTAAAATTTCCTTGAATCGCGATAGATAAAGTAAACAAATTTAAAACTTGTCGTAGTTTTTAATTTGCGATTTCTGTTATGCATGCTTCATAAATACATTCTTCTCATCTGAACTAATTAAAGTACTCTGCCCAAATCGGTTCATTTTTCAATTCGAATTCCATACCGATCACAGTGCTGATGCAAAATATCCTCAGTGGTAGACGGATCATGGATTAGAATCTACTTGCCGTGAGGCTGGTTTTCCCCTCCATGTAGCTTATATGCGGGTTAGTTCCATCAAAAAGTCGTTCACGAGGGCAGACTTCTTCCAATACTTGATCCAAGAGTTCGCTTGTCTTCTGGATTGGGTTCAAAACTACAAGGCTACGAAGTTAGCATTGGTAGTCGTAAATCCAAAATTGGGTCGATGGTTATACAATAAAATATATAATGTTTTAAAACTTGTGCATTTCGACAAAAAAAAGTAAAAATTAAATAAAAATATAATTTTTAAAAAAATTGTAGGATTGGGAGAAAAATTAATTTTAGATTTGAAATTCTCGCTCCTGAATAAGGCAAGATCAAGTACTATTTGTATAAATGTAACAAAAAATTTGTTCCCCGGTGTTATTAGATAAGTTTTTAGTTCGCGGAAAACAAATTAAATATGATTTTATATAATTTTTTAAAATATACTTTATGTACGTATTTTGCCTCAAGGTTTAAAAAGTCTCGCATGATTTGTCACTCATTTCGGATTAAAAAACGTTTGATGAGATGATTTTTTTTTTTTTTTTTGAGGTCACAAATACATTTTCGTTTTCATGCTTGGCAGATTTTCCGATGCCTTCGTAATCTTTATCGAAATGTAAGTAAATTTTTTGAATTAAATGTTTTCGATAGCTGAAGGATATTGGCACGTTTAAAAAAAATCTAGGAACTGATAAGGAACCGTCTACAAATGATGTCACGCTTAGAAAGGGAGGAGTTAGATGAAATTGTGACAAGGGAAAGAGTAACAAGAAGTGTGACAACACACAGTTTAAAAACACTTAAAATTGACATAAGTATTTTTATGTTGTTGTTTTCATCATAATACATACAACACAGTAACAAAGATAACACCCTGAATTACTTTTGTTGTAATGATCGAATTTTCACGAACTAAAATGTCAATCTTAATGGTTCAAGGGGGTGACCTCAAGTATACTATTGAATTCGAACTAACTATTAATAAAATTACAAAATCAGTCACAAAAACGAACTTTCTCTAAATTACTATATACATTTTATTACATATTTGGATTCCTGACGCTCAAAATGTAGGGGGTAGGCAAAATTTAGAAAATATTAAGCCATAAATTTAGATGCTGGGATTTGGCGTAGTCTTCCAAAAATAGCCAAATAATATCGCCGGAGGCGCAATATAAGATAACCTCAAACAAACTATGTGATCGATTAGAGAGAAATGCCTAATGTTTCTATCGCTAAGCACCTAGTTGACACAATGATAAAATAAAAATTTATTTATTTTTCCATTCACTATTTTCAGTTAGCTCAACAAAGCTTATCTTTTAATAGTTAATAGAAAAATATCTCAAAGTTTCTACGCGACCGAAATTTTTTTTTTTGGGTTGATTTCTAACCAAAACGCAAAAATTTTCTAACTTCCTTTAAAAATAGATTTTGAATATATTAATAAATTATTTATGATTTTCAAAGATTTTATAATTTGGACATTATTTGTGTTTTTTATGCTGTTTTAAAATATGAAGATTTTACACTAAGACCAAATTTCCGAAATTCATTTTAATTATATACAAAGTTGTGGGGCAAATTATTATCTTTACACCTTTAATCATGTCTTCTAAGCGAGAAGTTCCGAGAACGAAAAAACGCCCGAAGAAAATATAGAGTATCTGGTAGAGATTATAACTATTATTCACATTCACGTAGTTTTATATAATTCATGATGTTTCTTTTTTCTATAATTAAAAGAAAATTAGTTGAATGTTAATTGGCATTTTAAAAACATCGATGTATGTACGTTATAAGAATATTGTATGATTCATTATTTAAAAAATCGCTTCATTCTGCCAAATATGTGAGTTGCATAGTTTTCTTTGAATAAAGATAATTTGCTTATAGCATCCTATGTATCTTAACATTCTGGACAGATTTTCGCTTATTAGTAAAATATAAATTTCATAAAATGTTGCTCAACATGTTCTTTAATTACGATCAGCTACATCAGAGCCGTTTTTAAGGATGGGCCCCGAGTTCCGATGGGGCCCCCGAAAAGTCGAAAGTTTTTGAGATGAAATATTAAAAGAAAAAATTAATTGCACTAGCATAACAAGTACAGTTTTAATTTAGTTACATTTTAAATATTGTGCAGACCTAGAATTTTTTAATGGCATCTCTGCTGGTAATATAAAAAACATGAATTTAAATGTTTAATAAAACAAAGTTACAATAAAATGCTTTATTCCATATAAACATGTTTTCTCCATGAGATTCATATAAAAACTTACAAATATTTTATTTTACAAATATATACAATAAATGGAATTCTTTATATATGATACAAAATAAGCTTTGTGACATACAAGCACTCATTTAAATATAAATATTTAGTAATAATTTCATATAGTAAATAACTAGAACAAATTATGAAATAATTCAAAATTTAAGAAGAAAATGTAAAATAAAAAAACTTTTGTATTAACAATAATAATATTTGGCGTGTAAATCTTGGCGTAAAATAAAAAAAAATTCAACGATTTGCACTTAATGAGGAAGAAAAAAGCCTTTTTTAAAAAACTTACATTTCATCAACATTTTTAAGAGACCATAACCAAGTTTTAGATTAATAATTAGAACTAAGCATTATCAAATTAAAAGAATTATTTTTTCTTAAACAAATAATGTGTATGATGACTATGAATAGTTTTGTGCTTCTAAAATATTGGAAATGCTTGGTTTCATGTTTTCAATTAATATCATTTTCCATATTCTACCTATATGACCGAATTTATATTTAAAAGGTATTATTTTTAAAAGATATAAAAAATTTAATAAAATAACATGATTCCATAAAAACCTTAGGCTTATATTAACTTTTGATCTCTTATAATCTTAATATATTTCATGATTTTAAAATGAAGTATAAAAGAAATACTGGAGATACTTCCAATTTGGATTAGTCAGGTAATCACTGATTACATTGCTAAAAAATTCTTTTTATTCAACAAATTGCTAACCTTAAAATTATAAAAAGCAAAGTTATAAAACAATTTAAAGAAGATTTAAGCAAGTACTACTTTAATCAGCATACAGTAAAAATATATTTCAAATGAAAATAAAAATAACGGTTAAACAAACAATATTTTAAATGTGTTTAAAATTTGTACTTATTTTAAATTAATAACTTCCAAACATATTGAATATAAACATATTTTTCATACAGTATTTTAACAAAAGGATATTATACATTGAAGAATTTTTATAAGTTGTAAAAAATTGCAAATAAGTTGCCAACATTTTTGTCACTGTAAGCTAAAGATTAAACCATTAGCACACAGGATGTGATCACCACTCCTAATATATTTAAAGAATACTGGTCAAAAATAAATAAATATATATATATGTACAACACAAAATAATAATTACAAACACAAATTAATAACACGAATATGCTAACAAAATCTGTTGAATCCTTAATGATGGGGAAGGCAGTTCTAAACATTAAATCAACTTTGATAGTTTGAAGAAGCTTGGTGTTTCAAACCCTTAAATTCCTGTGCTTACTCTAGCACAGTGGTTCCCAACCTGGGGGCGACAATCCTTAGGGGGGCGACGAGTATTCAAAAGATAAAAATTGCTAATAATATCAATAATAAAAGCTATTTGAGATTGGAATTGAAAATATGTATGAAACCTATGGTTCTGGTGTAAACAAAGAATTATGATAGCTAAAGCAAAGAGATATGTTGGACATTTGTTTCAAAGGAGACCCGCGTTTAAATTTGACGAGCATAAAACCTGATATCCAAGCTTTAACTTGAAATACACCAAGCACAGGGCAGTCATTGAAGTGGTAAAAATGTACTTTCTCCCTCTTCAGTGCCTACATTTTTTTCTTAACTTTTAGTTGCTAACGCTTTAACTTTTTCTTGATTACATTAAAATATGAATGTAAAAAAATGTACTTTTGTTTTAATTATTCCGTATTAAATATCATTTCTTTTTGAAAAAAAAAAAAAGATACACAACTTTTTTTAATTAATAAAAATGGCGGGATAAATGTGCCTCCTTATTTGCATTACAATTTAAATTAAAATCAAATAGCATAGCATATTTTCAGTGTTTGGTTGCTNGTTTAAAATTTGTACTTATTTTAAATTAATAACTTCCAAACATATTGAATATAAACATATTTTTCATACAGTATTTTAACAAAAGGATATTATACATTGAAGAATTTTTATAAGTTGTAAAAAATTGCAAATAAGTTGCCAACATTTTTGTCACTGTAAGCTAAAGATTAAACCATTAGCACACAGGATGTGATCACCACTCCTAATATATTTAAAGAATACTGGTCAAAAATAAATAAATATATATATATGTACAACACAAAATAATAATTACAAACACAAATTAATAACACGAATATGCTAACAAAATCTGTTGAATCCTTAATGATGGGGAAGGCAGTTCTAAACATTAAATCAACTTTGATAGTTTGAAGAAGCTTGGTGTTTCAAACCCTTAAATTCCTGTGCTTACTCTAGCAAGTCAAATCTGTTTTGGTGAATTAAATCTAACATTTCTCAGTTGGATTTTGATAGCATTTAATTTTCTTAGCTTAAATTATTTTTGACCCCTAATGCGTGAAATTGGTTGTTTCCAAAAATATTGGGTGTACAAATTAGTTCGATTCATTTTTAAAAAATGGCTCTGCTGTTATGAATGTTATATAGTGACAGCTGGTTTCAAAGAGGTTAAACATCTCTCAATAATATTCAGTTTATATCATTTTGAGTTTCATACAAAAACCTTGTTTTTTACTTTGTCAAATTTGTAATATGTCAAATTTTGCGGTAATGAAGTACCATTTGCGAGAGGTTTTATGTTTCTGCTTTAATTGGAAGAAAAGTGCAACTGAAGCGCATCGAATGCTTGTAGAAGTTTATGTTGACNGTGTACAAATTAGTTCGGTTCGTTTTTAAAAAATGGCTCTGCTGTTTTGTATGTTATATAGTGACAGCTGGTTTCAAAGAGGTTAAACATCTCTCAATAATATTCAGTTTATATCGTTTTGAGAATGGTTTCGACGTTTCAAGAATGGTTAATAAAGAATGGTAAATGATAAATGGTGAGTTTTGTATAATATGAGCTGCTACAAACTGGTGATTCCATTACGGGCGATTGGTATAGGCTACAATTGATTCATTTGAGCCATGTATTACGAGAAAAAAGGGCGGAATACGAGCAAAGACTTATTCTTCTGCATAATAACGGTCAGCCTGATGTCTCAAAAGTCGTAAAAAACTATTTGGAAACGCTCAAGTGGGATATTTTATCGCACCCGCTGTATTCTCTGGACATTGCTCCTTCTGATTACTGGTTGTTCCGACGGATGCAGCATGATTTTGCAGGTCACCAGTTCACTTCTTTCGCAGAAATCGAAAATTGGCTCCTAACTTGGATCGCCTCAAAAGATGAGACATTTTATCGAGATGGAATTCGAAAATTGCCTGAGAGGTGGGGAAAAGTAGCAGCCAGCGATAGACAATACTTTGATTAATCTGTTCATTCATTTTGTTCTGAAATAAATGCATTTTTGACCACAAAAAAAACAGAGCGAACTAATTTGTACTCCCAATATGTATTATGAAGTCATTAAGCAACATCCTGTAAAATATTTCAGTTAGGTACAACAGTCAAACTTAGGTAAGATATCATACAAACACATTTATTAATACTTTTAAGTGTAAATTTAGTACCAAAGAATTTAGACGGTCAAAATGCAATCAATAATCGGTCAGTAAAACATGATGTTTTCAAAGTTCATAGCCCGAAAACACATGATACTTTATACAATTACTTAATTTAACTTTAAAACAAATTATGTGGAAAGATAAATGCGATAAGTACAAAAATAAAAGCAAGATGAGTTCTTTTTTACAAGTCAGAGTTATAACTAATAAGCTCATACAGTAATGTCATCAAAATTCTATGATTTTTGAAAAATTTATCTAAGTTGTTTCTGTCGGAAGCTGTAGTAATCGGCAGACCAAAAAATCTTTCACGGTATCTAATAGAGATTTTACCATGCTTGTTGCCTATAAAAAAAATTGCAATAGTCAATAACAAATTCTTTAAACAATATTATTTTACAAGATGGACAGTTAATAATTAATTAAAATAAGCAGCAATAGTTTCCAAAAAACTGAAGCGGTAAGATATTAAGTAATAAAAAAACTTTATTCGCTTCGTTTCTAAAATATATAAGAAGGAAAAAAACAGTCCACATTTTTCAAGCGGTTAAAAAATAGGTAGCCATTTTCAAGACTCGACAGATGTTAATGAGAAGAAACAAAAATGATTTTAAATATAAAGTTGTCAAAAAAAAAGAGGAAAAATAAGAAGAAACAAAACTAGAAAAACCACAGTGGTTGTGAGGGGCAAATCAAGGTAAAATGCATTTCCAAATGCTATAGAGAGCTGGTGAGGAACTCATTTTGTTCATAAAAGAATTAGCATTCGTATGAATAAAACAAGATTCCCAGGCATCAAGATGAGCTGATTATGACTGGGGTGGAAATAATTTTGGCAGTGTCAAAATTGAATTTATGCCCAAGATCCCAACAATTTGCAGCAATTGATTATTTCTCAAATTCTTGATAATGGACATACCTATCGTGCTCCTTAAGTCTAAATTTAATGCGCTTTAAAATGTAGTCTTAAGAAACAAGCTTAATATGCTTTTAATCCGCTTAATTTCTTCACCCCTTTGGCAGTTGATAGAAAAGAGAGATCTTCTTAAAATTTGTGATAAATAACAATGAAATGCTTTTACAGAAAAAATTTGATGAGTCTCAATTAAAATTTATATACTTTGAAGTTACAAACATGTGATGTAAAATACATTAAATTACACTACAGTATGTGCAGCTGAAATTATTTATATTTCATTCATCATTTTATATAAAGCACTTCTCATAAGTTTCCTGAAATATAAAACAATATATTTTTTACAGACATCTTTTGAAAATTTCTATTTTAAATGAAAATTAGTTTAGTTTAGTTAACAAATACTTCCAACTTTAACAGAACAACTGTACCTTGCAAAATACTTTGTGTCAAATAAGATTCTACCATCTTTATCCTTAACTCTTATTCTTCCATTGGTATACCTCGTTTCTCGTCTGCCATTAATATACAAAATTCTCACTGATCCATCAGCAAATTCTCTTTTCTGAAAAATCAACATTCAAGCATTGTTAATATTCAAGAGAAATAATGATAGCAGTGTTTCCCTCCCCATGACTTTTTCAAGAAAATATCAACCATATTTTTGCAATACATGACAGGATAATAAGGGTAGTCCCCATCCAAGGTTGGCAAGTTTCTGCCGAGGTGGTTAAAACCACTGGTTGAAACCGGTTAAAACCAGCATGGCAAAAACCCTTTTTCCGCCACATTTGTGGCAGAAATTCAAAAAATGACATAAAAGTAAGTACTGAGATCGACATATAATGGATAATTCACAGAAAAAACAATTAAATGTTAAACAAAGTACAATTTATTTACAAAATTATCACCATTCAAAATTACATTGTTTGCACTCTGCAGCAATATATAACAAAAGACAAGTTTTGACGCAGTTTCTAAACCTAAACAATTTCTCAATTTGCTATGCACGAACGAGAAATTTGAGAAGATTCTCTCAAATCCAGCAAGCATTGCCATCCACAAAGGATTCAAACTGTTACTGTTATAATAGTTGGATTGTTGCCATGCAAATTATGTCTTGAAAAGAAAAAAAACTATTTGAAAATTGCTATATTCAGTTATGTTAAGAGTTAAATGATAATTACTGAATTTCAGAATTTAATATAATAAACGAAAAACTAGTATTTATATTTATTATTACATTACTTTATTCTTCATTTTATATAAATATTTGATATACTGCAGTCTTTATATTTAATATAAACAAAATAATATATATTTACAAACAATGAATTAAAAAGTTTGTTACAGTTACATGGAGTTAAATTTTTCAGTTTACTTAAACAAAATGTCATTAAGCAATTACTAGAACTAATATAGAAGTTTTTTTTAGTTTCTGCCAGTTTTTGCCGGTTATAACCAGTTTCTGCCATTTGCATGGCAAAAACCAGTTTCTGCCGGCAAAAAGCCAACCCTGTCCCCATCACACAAGGGGAATAAAATCCCTAACTTTTCCAGACTTATTTTACCATATTTTTACCTGATTTTTGAAAATTATGGCATAAATTCATACATGCTTATAATTTCAGACATATATAACTGATAGCATTCAAAATAAAGACTCTAGTTCAATCTCTCAATGAATAAAATAAATTTCTCTGACATTTTTATTCTCAAGAAAATCGCAACTAAGTTACAGATCACATTTTTTCATGTAAAACAATATTTTATCAGAAATAAGAGGGGAGGGGGTACAAACACTTAGAAAAGAATATCCTTGATTAATTTTATCAAATTTATTTGATTTACCTAACCAATAGTATAAATTTTATGGTAATCCTTCTGTTTTGTTTAGTTTATGCTACGTAACTTTGCAATCACAACAGTCATATAACCATCATACACCTAACTTGTGATTAAGACAATTTAGAACAAAAATTAGTAATACAAAAGAACATAGTATTTAAAGTAAATTCTTACCAGCTAATTGAAGAATATTTTTGTATATAATACTGCAAGTAGGGTAAAAAAAATCTTACTTTTAAGATTATTAAGAAAACAAATTTATGCAGAAAAATTAATTTTAAAAAAATTATCGCTAGCTTTTTTTTATTAAATATTATTAAAAAGCAAATATAGTTGTAGAAAAAATGATTTGTTAAAGAAAGAGTATTTTGAGCAAATTAAAATTAAAATTTTAGTAAATCTAAGAAGTATTAAATGTGGTTTGATGTAATTTTTATGAGAAATAATTCTAATAAATATAACATGAACCTTACTGGTTACCTATTGCTATCCCAAAAGAAGTATTTCACTGTTATAATATTAATACATACCTACTAATGTTCAGCTACGTAGCCATGTAATTTTGAACCAAATCCAGAAGACAAGGGACCTCTTGGATAAGTATTGGGAGAATTTGCCTTCGCAGGGGCTTTTCAATGAAACTAACCCACATTTGCCTTACATGGAAAGGGATAAAACGAGAATTTCCCACGATTAGCCTAACAGCAAGGGGACTTATAACATGATCCGTACCAGTTATAATATTTTACATCAGCACTGTCGTCAGTGCAAGACGGATGCGGAATTCGTATCAACTAGCCATCGCTGGGATTCGAACTCAGTTCACCTCATTGGAAGGCAAATGTTCTACCTCCTGAGCTATTGCGGCTCTACTTAAGCTATTAACACTTAACATACTGCAGTACTGGCAATAGCACTATCTGTTGAGGAATAAGAGAAGTATTTTTGCCCTCAGTGGATATTTTATCCCCAAAATTTTATTTTTTGAAGCTTTCTTCAACAAATATGGAGAAATTTGAGAATATATGGGTAAACAGGAGATAGTCGTAAAATACAGGAGGTATGGCAGGTATGTTAATATAAAATTATAATTTTAAAAAATTTAAAAGTTATTATAATTAGTACAGAGGCTGAGTGGTAACACTTCACTCTCCTGTGCCACAGGTCCTGGGTTCGATCCTTGGGCCGGGCAAGGTTGACTCAGCCTTTCATCCCTTCAGTGGGTCGATAAATGAGTACCAAGCATGTTATTGAACTAAACACTTGGGGGTTTTGCATTTGGCTGACCACCTAACCGGAGCATCTACTCCTGCACTCCAGAGCCCAAGGTCAAGAAAACTGAGATGGGCACAGTAGGTCTTGACACTTGATGGGCTGCCGTGCCACTGAGTTTAGTTTATAATTAGTACAAAGATAAGAGTATGATTTGTGGAAATTTATGATTAATATGAAGTCAATTTTGAACAACTTCTTACTTTATAAGTGGAAGTTCTGATTTCTCTTTCACCATTTTCCCAATACAGTATATCTGTTCCATCCGGCTTCAACATTCTCTGCATTCCATCAGCACTTTTGATGACTTCAGTTCCATCAGGATAAATTATTTGACTATCTCCATCAGGAAAGTTGTTTTCCTTTATTCCATCAGGCATCAAGTATTGAACTTGTCCACTAAATGAAATAACACAAGTGAGATTATTATCTATATATTTTTCAGAAATAAGTATATTAGCATAGCACTTTTTTCTTTAAAATGTATATTGCATTTTATCTAATATTTTAAAAAAGATACTCAAAAACAATTTGCAAATTCCTGTTTATTTTTTCATTCTTACAACTCATCTGCAGAGAAAGTTCATAAGCATTATTAAAGGTATTGAAAATGGGGAAGAATGAAAATAATTTATCAGAAAAATCATTTAAAAAGAGAGAGAGAATAGTTAAAAAAAATGTGTAGCTAATCTAACGGCAATATAAATATGACATTCAGATATACAGGTGATTTCAGATATACAGATACAGAAAAGTTACCTTCAAAATTATTGTTACATGCATACCAGTCCCTATACTTTCCAATTTTTTTTTTATTAGGAAGTGTTTAAAAAGAAAACAGCATAACTTAATGGAAACAAAATATCACACATGTTGCAATAAAATTTTTTAGAATAAAAAATTAAATCAACACTTAATTTTATTATTTGCAATTAATAAAGTAGGTGGAATTCAAAATATTTAGTTAAAGAACAAAATTCTAACATTGGATGTGATTGTGAGTCAATATTTTTAGCTAGACCCTTTGAGCATACATTTTAAAATTGTTTTTTTTATCTGCTCAAGAACTATTCAATCAATTACTTTCAGCTCAATTTCCTAAAGAGTTTAGATGTTTTTAGCGTCTTAACTTAATTGACTTTTTGGCAGAATGTACCAGAATGACAGGCTTCACCATGCAAATCCCTGTAAATGGTTAATGATAAGCAATAAATAACCAGAATTTATTAAATGCTGCTCTTGAATCATAAAGATTGCAATCCATAATTTATTGCATAAAAATTTAATAATTGGATTAAGAGTTAAGCTCAATTTTTTATCTAATTAATTATTAATTAATACCAAGTCATTAACTTTTGTAGATGATTAGCAATTGGTATTTTATCGTAGTTTTTATTTGAACTTTAATTAATATTTAAGGACAATTTCAATTTATTGAAAATTAATTACAGTATAGTCTGGATAATTCGAGGTAGACGGGACCAAGCCTACCTCACACTTTCAAAAACTTGAATTAATGGGAAACTCGTACACCCGAGACTCGAATTATCGAGACTCTACTGTACCACTAAAAATTGCTTAATCATGTTATTACTTATTTAAATATTAATTTTTCAATTTAAACAGCCATTCATAGAACAGTACTACTGAAGTCAGTTATATTATAAGGTCAATCAAAACTTAAAACATTAATTCTTACTTTGGAAATTTAGTCACTCTGGAGCCATCTGGAAAAGATTCTTCTACTACACCATTTTCAAATTGATGAATCTGGGAAATATGTGCACCAAACAATTATTTGAATAAAATAATTATAGTATACTCTCAATATCTCTAACATACACCGAAGAGTCATTACATTATGACCACCCTGCTAATAACATGTAGGACCACCTGTAGCCCTCAAAATTGCTAGCACCCACCGTGGCATTGATTCCACAAGGTGCCTGATAGGTAGTCTGAGGTATCTGGTACCAAGCGCTCATCAACTAGTCCTGCAATTCCTCACATTGCGAGGGGGTAGCATGGCAGCACGAATATGGTTTTTCAAGTAGGACCACAAACGCTCTATTGGATTAAGGTCAGGTGAATTTGGGGGCCAAGACATGACATGAAAGTCATTGGAATGTTCCTCGTACCAATCCATGACGATTCGACCCTTATGACATGGTGCATTACCCTGCTGGTAAACACCATCCCCCGCAGGAAAAACTGTTGCCATGAATGGGTGAATCTGGACTGCAACTATGTTCAAGTAGCTTACAGACGTCAGGGGTTGTTCTATGAGGATTATGGGTCCTAATGTGCCCAATGTAAACATTGTTCCTGGGCGAGCTTATTGTTATAGATGGAGGGTGGTCATAATGTAATGGCTCTTCGGTGTATATCTCTAAAATTGTGTTATGTCAAATAAATATTTTTCCCCTTGACATTACATATCCACCTAATGTTAATTTGAATTCCAATGCCGCGGAATTTTTCTAAAAACCTTGTTATGAAGAGCCCACTCTAAACATTCGCCATTTCGCAAAATGCGATAAAATCGTAAATTCGGCAAAATAAATAATATTTTGGCAAAAGTATTGGCGAACGATTTTTTTATAGAAAAAAAAATATCCATATATATTCCCCTTGATCTTCAAATTACATCAATAGGATTTTTTCTGAACAAAATCTTATTTATTCTATTTAATTCGAGTAATTTCCCACAGATATACTAATAAGAATTATATCAAGACTAGATAATATAAGCAACAAAAAAAACAACAAGGAAAAAAAACTTAAAATACATATAAACACATATGTTGCCAGATCACATGATATATTGTGACAAAACTCTTACCGTTCGCTAAGACTTCTGAAGTTTGGCTAACACTTTTGATATTTGGCTAACTTAGTGGTTAGTAAATTAAAGTCCTTAGAGTCTTGGTTATGTCAGATATTTTTCGAAATAAAAACAAAATTTTTGGAAAAAAAACACAATGCATGTTTATTGTAAACCAATTTTTTCTATTCAAAGCATAATTAATTTTGTCTTTTAAAAATTAATGTTCCCGTATTTAGACTTACAGTCAACTATCATTACACACATAATTATTAGTAGTTATTCGTATATCTCAAGATTCTACTTTTTCGAATACTATTATAGAATATATTTTTCTTCTCTTTAGAACATATTTAGCTCTGAACTCGCTATTTCTAAAACTCGCATTCTTGAAATTTTTTTAGCGTCCCTTCAATTTCGAGATGCCGAGAATATATTGTATTAGCAATGGACAAATAAATTTTTAAGGGAAATGATTATTTAGGAGAAATAAATAGTTTGAGCCCAACATGCCATAATAATCCTAATATTTAATATACAAGTAGCTTTAATGTAAAAAAAATTTCTACAACTGGTAATTTAAAAAACCTTGATGATTAAAAGTGCATATTTTTACAACTAAAAAAATTTAGAGAAATTTTAGCACTATTACTGATGAATATCCAAAAACTAATTCTGTTTACATCCCTATTCACAAAGATTTCTATCCTTCATACATACCTCAAGGTGTGGCACTGACTACTATTTCCAGAGGTATTACAAGCTGCTTTAAAGGCAGGGGATAGAAGGCAAATTCTTTTACATAATTCAATGCTCTCATGAGGTTTACACTATTTCTCAACTTTCGGATGTTTACTTGTAACAAACAAATTGTTGTAAAATTTATTTGGGAGTGTTGTTGTGTTTCGTTTGTTTAGTTAAAAAATACAAACACATACTTTAAAAATGAATATTTCCAAAACAAAGTGGGAGGAAGAGAAAACTAAAACATTAATAAGTATATATAAAGTGGGGGAAATATTCCAGCAAAATTCAATGAAGTAATTTAAAATAATACTAACACTATTAATAAAAATAAACAACATTAAATGTGGTATAATGGTAGTTGAATCATGTTTTCTGTTGTACTAAATTATGGAATGCAGAGTAGAGATTTGAAACAAAAAAAAAATTTTTTTTTCATTTTGGAAAGAAAAAAAAAGAAAAAAACTCATGCTTAGTTAAAAAATTGAAAACCATACACATGTGTATACTTACAAACTCTAGTATATTAGTAGATAATAAGGCAATCTTTTTTTTTGTTGTTGTTGGTTTCAAAATATATAGATAAGCATTACTTTACAGAAAGAGATTCCTTATTAGCAATTCATTGTGAAATAATATTGGCAAAAATAAAGTCAACCTTACGTTTTTTACATTAAATAGTGGTGAAATTAGTGGATATTTTTAAATTTGGGAAAATTAAAATCAATAAAATTTCAAAAGATGTGGAAAGAATCGTAAAGAATGTGAAGTTTTTAAGGTTTGGGAAGGATACTATGTGAATGGAAAATATGTATTTATGAGTAATTAAACAAACAATTATTTTAAAGTTTTTTTATTAGAGTAAATTGTAAACAGTTGTGAATGTTTATAATATGACTTGGCATTCGAATGTAGACAATTTTTAACCCCTTGGTCCTTTTATTTGCACTTCTTTTAGAAATTATGTTACATTAGCATAATGAATGCCACAAAGTATGCTCTAATCCACCTAAAAAGCTTATTTTTCTAAACAGTATAACTAATAACAACTTTTCAGCTATGAAACTCTTAATTCAATATCAAAGATATACCAAAACAATGTACATAATCATCAGCGTACAAATCAGTACCAAATCAATGGTTCAGTGGTTTTGTTCGTTAAAGGAAAAGAATTCAAGATTCATACCAATCGAAAGATATTAACGGAAAACAATAACAATATTACGCTTAAATATTTCCTATATAATGGCTGGAGTTTAAAAAAACATAGTTCCCAGCAATCTGTAGTTCTGATAACTTTAAATCGGAAGTTTATCAATAAAATTTTCAAATTTAAGTTAAAGGCACAGCCAACACCATCTGTAGATTTTACTGACAAGCAAGAAAAGGTTCCTTTTCATTCAGTCACACAATCTTTGCTTTCGCGGCATATTTAAAGCTTCTATTAAAAAGTAACTAGCTTTTTCAAAACACAAAACATATTTTTAACCTATATTTGTATCTTGTGTATATTTATTTATAAAAAAAGATTTTCAAAAGAAAAGCAAAAGTAATTTTACAAACAAAACTTTAACCACTTTATATTAATATTTCTTTCTTTTTTAATCTTCAACAATTTAGAGTTTACAATTCTTTAAGCAAAAATTAATGAATTAGCGAAAAGATAATTTGAAAACTACAACAAAATCCTTTTTAATTTATAAAGTTCCGATTACTTTATACCTCCTTCCTATTACTGCTATAACTTTATTCCTCTCTATGATGATATTCAATATCAGTACTCTCACATTCGTCTAAAACTGAAAAAAGTAGTGGCAAAAAACAAGCTGAAATCTATGAATAGAGACAAAAACCAGCAACTTTTTCTAGCACAATTCTATAGGGGCGGGATAGCCTGGTTGGTAGGGCACTGGGCCCATGTCCAAGAGTTCACGGATTCGATCCCAGGCCCACCTAAGACTCCCCGTGTAGTAAAAACCTGTGTGCACGTTAAATCTACAAAGTCCTCCATGTTCCCATAACAAATCAATACCTCTGGGGGTACAAGAAGTTTCCTTGTCTTCTGGATTGGTTCAAAATTACAAGGCTACGAAGTTGAACATTAGTAGTCTTAAACCCAAAATTGGGTCAGCTGATCAACGATGGATATAAAAAATAAAAATAATAACACATTTCTATCAGTTAATTACTGAAAGTAAGCACAAGGTACATTTTTGCTTTAAATATAGATGATTAAATAAATAAAAATGAATAAGTTTCTACATTTTTAGTGCATGTGGAAGCCCTGTAATGTTCCTCTTTTTTCAGTCTTCTTTAAAAAAAAATTTTTTTTTAACTATGATGTGATATAATTTTTAAAATAATATAAGTAAACTTGCACACAAGAATTTTCACTCTAAAGTGCATATTAAATATATAATAAAACTTGTACATGATACATACTGGAAAAGAAACCCCACTTACTTCATGTTTATCAGGATATATATATTTAGTCTGCCCATTATGATATACAATATAAATAGTTCCATCAACTCTGATAGTCTTCTTTGTGCCACTAGGATATATTATTTCTGTGTCACCAGAAGGGAGAAGTTTTTGTACTATATCCTATAAGGGATTAAAAAAATCTATTAAAAAAATTCATGTATTTTGTTAAAGTAATGGTTTAAAAAAAATAGAAACTGATTCCTAAAATAAAATCTTCTAATACATGAATTTTATTATTTATTTATAGAAGAATCTTTGCAAAAGAAAATGCAGAAATATATTTTGCTAAAATATTATTTTTCGAAAGAATAGTACTCACTCCTGTAGATTTATCTCCCAGTGTTTAACTTTTAAAGATAAATATTTACATGAATATAATTTTAAATTATAAAGAGAACTTGAATTGCTAAGGCAGTTTTTTAAAATGAAAAAAAAAAGTTTTGCTAATAAAAAAAAATAAGAAAAATAGGATTTTTAAAAAATAGGAACTGATTAATGAAATCTTTTATACAAGGGTAAAACAATTAGTCAAGTAATTTTAGCTGCTTGCAGTTCAGATAGGAACCGTAATTCTGATAAATCGTCTTTAATGTTCATAAAATCAAGTCTTTATCATTCAAATAATTTTCCACAATTTTAGTTCACAAAAATATTTTCAAAAATTCAAAAATTCAGTGAATTTGAAGTATATTAAAGCATTCACTCTTGCAATATCGAGAATTCATGAGAACTCTGATTTTAAGAGGGAAAAGTTTTTTTTCTTTAGTGGGTATCAAGACATTGTGGTGTTTGGGACAATGAACAAGTGGACCTCCTTTCAAAAGAAAGTGGCAGTTTACTAGAACATTCTAACACTCTCTTATTGGAGGATAAAACTGTTTGTAAAAAATTATTTATGTCAAATACCTTACGAGACCTTGGACGGCCCTAAAAAGCTGGAGGAGTAATTTTCTTATTCCCGACAAGCCAAGATGCAGTGCAACTATGACCTTGTTTCTCACTTGCACCGTATAGGCATTTCAATCATTTCTATTTATTCACTTTGAGACAATAATGGACAGTGACCGTCTGCTCTACAAAGCAACTTCGTGGTTCTACACAGGAGTTAGATCATTCATTTGGAAAGACCTCTGTCCTCTAGTTCTAATTTCTACTGTTTGAATCTATGCTTAATATTTTCAACTCTTTTAAATCCCGTGAATACGAAATGGGATATTCAATATAAAATCGTAAAAATAAGAAACAGGATGCACGATTCTAAATTATGTAAATACCAATCGTGATGTGTGATTTTAAATCTTGTGAATGAAATTCTTAATCCTGTTTGAATAGGTAGGGAAAAGCATACAACTGCAAATTTTTCTTCTTCTTGAGAACTTTCTTAGAAAAGACGGATTTTTTAAAATTATATTGAAAAAAGAAAAAAAGCGGAAAAAACTAATCCTTGATATCAGAATACCTGGAAGTCAAATGAAAAAATGTAATGGCGTGAAATATGCGCGAAGCAAATAAAAAAATTCTAATATTAATCTCTGTTACCAAAGGAATCCGTAGGTTAAGGAAATTTTGCCTGTCTTCACCCTTTTTAGTAATATTAAAAGCTTTCCAAGAACAGTGTTAGTGCACATTATACATATCTGTAATATGTATAATTTATGGCCAATATCTTCTGATTGTTTAAGGTATGAGTGCAGCTCTACTGACATGTGAAAACATGAAATCCAAAAAACATCCCAACCCTTCTTTAATTCTCCCTTTCATTTTTCCATTCAAAAAATAATAATAATAATTATCTCGATATACCTAACATAATAAACTATCTAATTATTACATAAAAATAATCTTATTTTTTTAAAAAAATAATTGGATTTTGCAAGTCTCCATCCAGAAGAAATAATTTAATTGAGATTAGATCAAAATATAATGGTGAATTTATAAATACAGCAAAAAAAAAAAACTTATTCTGTTAAACAAGAATTTGTAACACAACATTGAAAAAGTATGGTTATTTTTGATTAAATTTTGAGTACAAAGATTACAGCATAACTAACAAACTAATAATACTTTTCTCACATACAGGTTGGATTTTTGAATTGCTGACTTCTGAGAGAGGAGAGCCATGGCTTTCAGCATCCTTATTCGTACTTTTGGTAAAATTAACATCATTTTTTGGATCATGATCAAGTTCGCTACTTGAACGGTCATCTTTAGATTCCTCACTAGCGACATCATTTTTAGAAGTGTCCAATTCTGGAGGCAGGTCAAAATGAACTTTTGGCTTTGAAGAATTAACTTTAACAGATTTGTTAGAGTGAGATGTTTTGAGCGAAGAAGCTTTCCTAATAATAAAATAAAAAATTATATTACAAAAAATATTATATAATAGGATTAAAAAATTACTACAATTAAAAAACAAACAGTAAAAAAAATTGAATAAAATTTTCTACATTAAAAATGAAATATATTAAAACTTTTAATGTACTATTAAAGAGAATAAGTAAGAAATTTAGAATATTAAGGTCTTCATAAAAAAAAGTTTCTTAATAATTCCTTAAACATTGGTAGATACCAGAGTGTGATAATCATTGAAATACAGGTCAGAATTAATTTTTTACCATCCCAAACACCTTTTTTGATAGCATTTTAATAAAAATTTATGAAAGTAAAAATTAATCAATCAGACAAAAATGGCATTAACACCAATTGTCATCAACACTCATATTAAAAGTCTAAATCAAAAGCATTAATTATTATTGGCAAAAAATATTAGGTATTATTAATAATGAAGTAGTAAGCATTGATACAATAAATGCAGAACATTACTATTAGCAAAGAAGTAATAATAACAAAATTATTAAGCCTTATCGTCAAATGCATACCCTTCAACATCTACTTTAAAATTATCTCTTTTATCATAATTTTCTAATAATAAGTTAACTTGAGAGCCTCATTTTTTTTAGCATATTTGATTATATGTTTTGCAGATTAATTAAAAATTTTAGTGGATTTTATACACAAAATATTCAGCACATATTTTATCCTTGCATCTTCTGCACAAATAATAGTACTGAAAAGTCTGAAATATATATTCACATGACCTTATTAGCAAGATTGAGCCTAAGAATTCCTGTTTTGTGACAAGAATAAACTCAGTTATTCAAGTTCTTTACTACAATACTGTAAATGTGACAGGTGAAATAAGATAGTAAATTAAAAGTAGAACAAATACAAAAATTTTGTAGATTTTGCACACTAAATATTCAGAGCACATTTAATCTTTGCATCTTCTGCAAAAATAATAATACTAAAAAGTCTGAAATATATATGCATGTGACATTACCAAGACTGAGCTTATAAACTCCTGTTCTGGGACAAGACAAAACCCAGTTATTAAAGTAAAGTTCTTAGCTACAATATTGTAAACATCACAGGTGAAATATAGCAAATAACAAATAGAACACATACAAAATATTAATCTTAATTGTAAAAAATTAAGGACGAATTTATAAAATGGATTGATTAAAACAGCAAAATATATGGAGCTATTAGCAGAAATTGAAGAAATTCTAACTAAAGCAAACAGTTCAACTTTTGAAAGTAGTAACGTTTTCCAAAACAAGGTATAGCCATTCATAAAACTTAGTTGAAATAAATTTTGACACTTTAAGCATTTTATACAGGGTATCTGCTACATTTTAGATTTTCAAATTCATGACTAATTCCAAGAACTTTTTCATGACTTAACGTAGTTACTATTTTCTCCGACAAAAACAGAATAATACATTTAAAAAGCATTATAAAAACGTTAATTGAAATAATAGGTATTACCAAAACTGTTATATTCTGCATCTTCATATTTATTGATTTTTAAAACTAAAAAGGAGAGTAAACAAAGAGATGAAGCAATAAAATAGCTGAAAAAATAATAGCAGAGCAAATAATTCTTTTTTCTTTTTTACTGCAGAATTATATTCTAAAGATATATTTCTTGTTCATCAGCAAGGTAAGAAATACTCCTGACTTTTCTATTCTCGTTTCGGAATTTTAAAAAAATTGCTAATGATTAGCTTGCTTCAGCTAGAATTTTAAATTGATAAAATAAAAAAAATAATTAATAACAAATATTCTGAAATCACAGAAGTTTAAAAGNAATCTGAGAAAAAGCGGAAATCCGCGGAAGAATCTCATCCCTGTACATAGCTCTAAAAATGACATTTTTTCTTTCATTTTTTGAAAAAACACCATAATTTTCAAAGAACATGACAAAAACATTTTATATTTTAATAAAATGTGACCCTGAGCTGGGATTTTGTTACAAATTCAGATATTTGGAACACCATGAAATTGGGGGGGGGGATTCCCTTTTAAAAATAAAATTTTTCAGTGACCTAAATGCATGACTTTCCATGATTTTCTTAAAAAAAATAGTTAAAATCATGACATTTTATGACAAATTTTGTTCAATACCAAAATTCATGACTTTCCATGATTTTTCATGACTTTCCAGGTGCGCGGATACCCTGTTTATTCCATTCTTTTGTTCTATCTTATTATGCTTCAAATGTTTCAGAAAAGCTATTGTGATGGAACAAACAATTTAATAAATAAGTGAATATTATAAAAAGTTACAACTATTAATGAAACAAGTTATGCCTTGAAGTATACCTTTAAAATACAATTTATTCATAAGGGAAAGAGCTATTTAAAATTCTTATACTACCTTTTTGTTGTATCCTTTTTCTCATTACTATTAAAGCTATCAGCTGTAGATGAATCATCATCTTTTTGCCTTGATTCTTCATATTGATCAGACTTATTTGATTTAGGTGTCTTGAATCGATAGCGACTAGCCTAGTAAATAATAAAACAAAATTATCAACAAAAAGGAGACATAATTAGAATAATATTCAACGTATTTTAGAAAAGAAATACCAGTTTAAAATAAAAATTTGTCGCGTAAGTGTAATTTGGAACATAAGTAAAATTGAAACAAATAAACTAAAAGATTTGCACACATTGTTTACAATTTCTTATGTAAAATGAATAAAAATTGGCAGAATAATTTAAAACATTTTATTTAGAGATTTAAAAGCAGTAACTTAAATGAAACACACTTGAAATTTAAAAGTCAGTAATTAACAAAACACACTACATTCAGCTCTTAAAACTAACGAGCATATTTTTATGATCTTAGCAAGTAAATTCTAAATTTTTTTTTTTTAAAAAAAAAGAGTTTTTTTTTCAAAAATAGGAGCAAATATGATGCTTTATGTGTGAATAGCTTAAATAAAATTACTTGCAGGGTATATGCTACATTTTACATTATCAAATCTATGACTTTCCATGAATAATTCCAAAAATTTTCCAGGACTTAACAAAGTTACTATTTTCTCTTACAAAAACACAACAATAAATTTAAAAAAGCATTATAATAACATTAATTGAAATTATAGATGTAACCAAAACTGTAATACTCTGCATCTTTATATTTAAAGATTTTAAATTCAAAAAACAGAGTAAAGAAAGAGTAGAAGCAATAAAATAGCTGAAAAATATATAAGAGCAAATCATTTTCTTCTCTTTTTTTTGCAGAATTATATTTTAAAGACACTTTTCATATTATATTTTAAACACTCCTTATTTTTCGGTTCCATTTCAGAATTAAAAAAATTAAGGACTGGCTTGCTTCAGTCAGAATTTTAAATCTATAAAATAAACAAAAATAAATAATAAAAAAAAATTCTGAAATTACACAAGTTTAAAAGATAATTTGCTCTAGAAATGTTTTTTCCTTCATTTTTTGAAAGAACACCATAATTTTTAAAGAACATGATAAAAACATATATTTTAATAAAATATGACTGTGAGTGGGGATTTTGTTAGGAATTCAGATATACGGAACACCATGGAACTGGAGGGGGAAGAGTAAATTCCATTTTAAAAATATGGATTTTTCGGCATAACTTTCTAAGATTTTTTTTTTAAAAAAAAATAGTTAAAATCATGACAGAATTTGTTCAAGACCGAAATTCATGACCTTCCAGGCGCGCAGATAACTTGTACTTACTCTTAAAGATTTGAGTAATTCATCAACTTGTTCTTCTAAAGTAATCACTTTCAGTTTTGACTCTTCTCTCTCATTTTCTGCTGCAACTAATTGACTATTCAATCTCCTGTTTTCTTTAGTAAATTTTATTTTTTGTCTTCTCAGCTCTTCCTGTAGCTCCTCATTCTATTGAAGAAAAATAACAGAGTTCATACTTAATTTCAGGAAAATGTTTTGATGTGCATCGGCACAATAAAATATTACAAACATTTGAAAATAAAAGTTAATATGCATAAATATCAGTATAAAACAGAGTATTCCTACACATTAGTTCATAGTGTTATACAGTATTATGATTTATTCACAAAATGATACAGCTACAAATCAAACCCTTGAGTGTAAATACTTCCAAATATTCTAAAAATTAGAAACAAGACTAATTACTAATTACTTAAAAAATTCTTTATCTTTAGTACAAAAAAACTAAATTAAAAGAATTCTTATTAAGGTAATAATTACACATGAAAAAAAAAACATTAAAGTTTTACTTAGTTCCAATAAAAGTTTATTCCTATCCTAAGAATTGTAATATCTAGAGGAATAGTCTCAAGTCAAATAGTCCTTGTTATTTTGAAGGAAAGAGTTAAATATATATATATATATATATATATAAAATCCATAAAAGTAATTAGAATTCATATTCAAAGATTTATGAGCAATAGATTTTGTAAATTAAAGAAATTTCAATGATGAGTAACTTTCTCTTGACATAAATAACTGAAAATCTGGAAAATTATTATTTGAAATTGAGCCGTGTTTGAAAGATTTTACCTTTGACCCAGAAAAAGACACCAATGTTTCATGCTGTATTTCACAACGATAAATTAAGATGCTAAATGTAATATTTTTCACTTATTTTGACCTAAATTAAAACAAAATAATGAAAAAATGTGTTTCATAAAAATTCTGATTTAAAGAGTTAACAGTTAGAGGTTCAATTGAAGGGCTGTGTCTTTCTTTTTCTTTTTTTTTAAAAAAAAAAGAAAAGAAAAGAAAATTAATTTACAACCTAAAAATGTGTAGGAAAAATTTTGTATTAAAAATGGAAAATGCCTGACCTTTTTCGCAGACGTATCCGGCGATGGTGACTCCGAGTCCTTGTTGATCCTTGACTAGTTCGACTTCGAAAGTTTCCATCTCCGGCTGGTCATCTACTAGATCTTTCTCGAACACCCCCAAGCGACCATCGCTTGTTGAGTAAGCACCCTGAAAATGAAAACAAAATTTCTCATCAAGAATCAACAACTTCTTTAGAAAATAAATTTAACAAACTTCTATAAGAAAACATTAGTAATTTTTTCACGGTGAAACCTATTGAAGCAGAACAAATTTTGATATTTCACAGCGAGGTAATTTTTTTTCCAAGTTAAAGTGCGGAAATATCAACAAAATAAATAAAAAAGATGATGAACACAGAGAAAATAATTGGATGGTGTGATGCATCACTAGACTAATAGTGGATTAAAAACATTAAGTTTTAAAATAGGAGATAGAAAACAAAAATAAAAGATAGCTTATGGTTCTGTCTATCTTCAAACACAACAGATATTTTATTATATATTACAGTTTATTTTTGTTACTTCTAAACTTCAATAAATAAGGCGAAAAACTCAAAAACCCGTAGGCAAATTTTTTTCCCCTCTAAAACACCATCCAATTAAAAACATCCAAAGCAAAATTTTAATTCATTTCACTAAAAATTAGAAAACTTCAAAATAAAAAAATTCTCTTAAATTCTTCCTAGATAATGTAAACAAAAGACATTTTTAATTAAAATTTATTATAACAAAAGCTCCTTGATAAAAAAAATACAAAATTAAAAAACAAAGATCTTCACTTTTAATGTCATGGGTTAGTTTCATTAACGAGCATTCAATGTAAAAGATAATAAAACTGAACAAAGTTGCTATTTTAATACAAGGAAATATATAAGTGTTTACAAAACTACGTATGCTACCTAAAAGGAATTCGTAAATCTTCTCACAAAAATGCATTTTCTTAATTAGCAAAATTGGACTTAATTTATAATGGTTCGCACAAAAGACTGTATTAAAATGATTAATTGAAGAATTTGAATTTAACTAATAACCCTATAAATCATTGTAATATATGAAATAGAAAGCAGCAGAATTCTGAGTATAGGAACAATATTACAAACCGCGTTTTCTAATTCTTGGAGAAACATAACTTATGATTTTTTTTTATTTTAAACACTACGATTTTGATGAATGCAATAAGATTTTCCTGAATATTTAGCTGTTATCACGAGAAAATTCTGGAAATGCGCTAAGTATCTACCTTAAAACAATGCTAAGGATTATTCTGATTTAAAAATTTCACCCTTGGAAAAAGTATCACAGTCTACTATATTCTCTCACACTCTTCAAATGATTTATAAAGAAAAAAACGTCACATATAATTCATTTCTAAGCGTTATTTTAAGTTTCAAGAAACAGAAAAAGTGCCATGAACGGTGGCTTCTTCATATCATTATTGTTATTCTTATTTAAAGAATTATATTTCTTTATATTATACAAAAAGAAATCGGTCTAAAACTGTTCCTCATTTTCGTTAGTGCATTCTTATTGCCAAAGGAAATTTTATGGAAGAATCTTTAATTCACGAATAGGAGAAGAGAGTCTTTGGCTTTCGTGAGTCTAAAATTAAAGTTTTAACGATTTACCTGCAAATCAATCGTTCATCTTTTATTTGAGGGTAGTTTCATCAGAGATTTTGATTGCAAGTATTAAAGGGGCCGGAAAGTAATGTCGTTTCGATGAATTTGATATTTTGTTGTCAAAATTTCATTTTTAATCAATAATATGTTTACCCACGTTAGCAACCACCTTTCAATGCCGGATCGAAAATGAATAGAAATGAATCGAAAAAAAAAAATGAATTGTTTTTAAAGACTAGCGAATATTTAATGCGCCGAAACGAAATTACTTTCCGGTATCTTTAATATAATTAATATGCATTAATATACAATTATTGAATTTGTTAACTATTTTTCGCTATTACACAGTTTATGTTTAACTTATTTAATCCCTACAGCTATTTTTTTGAAATATTTTAATTAAACGATTGATAAGTTATATTCACTTGTTAAAAAAAGTTTACATACTTAAAATAAATAATTCTTATGTATAATTGCGGGTAATCGACAAATGTATTTAAAATAATGAATTTAAATCTAAACATTTTATATATTATTAAGCATTCACTTTTCAAATGATTGCCAAACATTCTGGCAAAATTATTTAACAAATCTTTATAACAACTAAAAAAAAAAAAAAAAAAAAAAAAAAAAAAAAAAAAAAAAAAAAAAAAAAAAAAAAAAAAAAAAAAAAAAAAAAAAAAAAAAAAAAAAAAAA